CTGCTGAGCAGCTGAGGACCGAGTCTCTGCTCAGGCGTGACCGAAGACATTATCGTCCTAGTCCGACATTGACGGCCGCTCCGACTTGCTGCCGCGAAGAATCCTGCTCGATGTTGTGTACACGCGACTCGGTGCTCTTGCTGGTAAGTCCTGTTAGTGGCTATTGTTCTGGGACGTGAATTTTTGGCGCTTGAATCGGTACAGGCGTTATCGGATTGTTCGTTTTCAAGTGATCGGATGAGCACATGGCCATAAACATTCCTAATTTGAATCTAGTGAAGGTTTTCACAAGCCTCTTGATAAGAGACTATAATCGATTTTTGTATTAATTTACGGTGATACGATTATCGTTGAAGCATTGTCTACGTATTTACTACGACTATTTACTCAGTTCAAATGATAACCAAATGAAGATTTATTGATACAGATAACATTTGAAAAATCCAAAGAAGTGTCGTCGTTTGTCAGCCTAGCGCCGTTGTCCGTCAATGTCTGCAGTTCAGTGGGCGCGCAGTCGAGTGGATTCTTGCAGTGCCGCGTCAACAACTGGAAAGGAATTCTGGCAACGGCGCTTGAGTGGCTGCGTGAATTATTTAATAAAGTTTAAAGATTTCTTACTAATTAATAATATTCTCGGACCGCAACAGACTCTTGGACTCTTTGACGCTGACATTATCAGAGCAGAATTGCTATACAAAAATTCAATATTATAGAAATAGTTTGAAAATCGGGATAAAAATATGTGAATTTCAAAGATGATACTAATTTCATGCACCGAACATTTCATGCATGTGAGAATGAGGAGAATATCAAGCACGTTCGATATAAGTAATTCGGCCAATCAATTAGTGTGCTCAGGAGCCAGTGTGGGAAGCGCGCCATCTGTCGGCTGCTCGTCGTATTAAATAGGAACCTCGTTATGACAAAGCCGATAACCGCTGCTTATGCGGTGACTGAACGCAGCTGCGGTTCACGACTCCTAGTCATGAATATTTACTTCTATTTACCCAACTTTTTGCTACCACACTTTTATTAAGTATTTTGTATTTTTATAATGAGGAGTTTTTGAGGTGATTGAAGCTCAAATTTTACAAGTTTTAATTTGATACTTTAAACGTCAGGCCTTTTTTTTATTTTTATACCTGTTTTCGTGTCTCCTGTCCTTAGAATAATTCACAGCGCTGAAACCATTTAGTTATTCAAGTTGACTTACATTAATTCGGGCTCCAAAATATCATGTTGAGTTTATTTTGTATTGTACGTTATTAAAATTAACTTGAAATGTTTACGCTCAAGCCTGTAGGTGAAGTCATATTGCATATTCCTTCTGGTATCCATTGCTCAAATTATACAAGAAAACTCTCGCGCTATAACTGTATAGCTAAGTTGAAATATCGAGCAAGACGTCCTTATATCTGTCACGAACCTCCTCGTGTGCATCAATAGATGCAAGAACACGAAAAATCTTTCAAAGAAATTAAAGCGAGGATCACTTTGAGTGGCAGTTGAGCAGAAGCAAGGGGAAGCGGAGGAAGTTTTAAAGGAGGTGGGGCGGGTCGGAAAAGTTAAGCTGATCAGTAAGTAAGAGGCCGTGACAGCTCTGATGATCGAGTGAGGGAAGGTCTGAGAGACGACGCAGCTAAGGAGGGAAGACGAGTCCGTGGGTTGAGAAGTTGGTGCAACTCAAACTGTAGGAAGAAAACAGATCGAGGTGTGCAATAATCTCGTATTTTAACATGCGACGTAAAATACGCACTATCTTACGATGGATTGTATATTAAATAATTATTGTCTAGGTACTATTCACGTGTTACACCTTGTTCATCAATGTTTCTAATTTCAAGCGCAATTCTTGCAATTTATATCGAGCGTTATGATTCGCAATCAGTTTTTTCATCTTTTCATCATTTACGAAAAGTAGAGTTGATTTAGGGTCATATAGGGTCATAATAGTATGAAGTTTACCTCTTTTTGGGGACATAAATATAAATGCTTTGAAAATGCTTTGAGTTGGATTCCACGCCTAAAGTGTTTTCCAAAAAGAATTTTCAACTATTTTACGCACTATAAGTTTCATTTTATATTGTATTAATTGATGCCTTGTACGTAGCCAAGGATTATCAACTATTTTACTGATTAAGTACCGTAATAGTGAAGCCAGCGATTGCACGGAGTTGTTTCGAATTCCGGCATCGCTGTGTGCGCTTGTGTGCCATACAACCCTCGACATCTCTGTGTGCGCTTGTGTGCCATACAACCTTCGGCATCGCTGTGTGCGCTTGTGTGTCATACAACCTTCGGCATCTCTGTGTGCGCTTGTGTGTCATACAACCCTCGGCATCGCTGTGTGCGCTTGTGTGCCATACAACCCTCGGCATCTCTGTGTGCTCTTGTGTGCCATACAACCCTCGGCATCTCTGTGTGCTCTTGTGTGCCATACAACCCTCAACATCGCTGTGTGCTCTTGTGTGCCATACAGTCCTCGGCATCGCTGTGTGTTTGTGTAGTGATTATTGAGCAGGCAATAAGGACGGTTCCTTTGTGTTCCATATGTTACACCAGCCTGTGGCGCTCCATGCCCCGCTTGTCTGTACAGTCATCCTAAACAAGCCTCACTGCCATGCCGTTCTGTCGGCATTTCTTCTTCTGCAGGGCATTTAATTAAAATTTCAGTTAGGAATTTCAATGATGTAACTTTAACTTAGATCAATTATTTTGCTTAACCGAATTCGTTGAACAAGAACTATGCTCTCGTCACGCTCATGTCTTCTGGGTTGAAAATATGGTTACTTCAGCGAAGATATTAAAGGGTTCAGAGTTTACGTTGTTGAGAAGCTCTTAAAAGGGTTTAATGGGTTTTAATTTGTAAACAATAGTTTAAGAGGCTTAGTTCAACAAGTTTCAATTTACAAGTTTTAATTTAAAAAAAATTAACGCGTTTACATTTTTCGAAACTCTGAAATTTACATATAACAAGTTTATATTTTTCAAGTTTTTACCACAGCATAACATGTTTGCGCAAAAAATGTTTAGCAAAATAAAACACGTTTTAAATTTTTTATTCCTTCAAGTCCAAGCAGAATATTTGTTTCATCCGCTGCGCTCGAAGTGCGCGCATAGTGCGACTGTACTCGCTCACTGTACCAGCAGAAGGGCTTTAGATCACCTCTCCGTGGTGGAAGTCCTGCCAATCGCACGGCTATTTATTCCTAATGATGAGAGTGTGATGGAGGAAACCCTCACATACTTTTGATGATATGCATTTATTCCTTTATGTGGATGAAATAAAAAATAAATTCAAATGTTTTAAGTATTTTAAGATACATATATCGTGCCAATAACGTATATTGTGATATTTCTAGACGCAGAAATCGGTAGGTGAGAAATTTGTGCAGTTACAAACGTTTGTTCAAGCAGGAGTGTCATGAATATTTCGCATGAAAATCTTACTTGAAAAGAAAGTCAAATTATTTCACAAGGATCGGATTAACGATGAGTTGACGTTGTTGAGCAATATTGCTGCTATAATTAAAAGTATTTTCTTTACAACAATATTCTAATTGTTCTATCTACCGCTTTTGGTAATGTAAAATTTAGTATTTCTATTTCCAGATCATGTACATGAGATTCTGCGGCTTACACCATATACCCATCCGGGCCATCCGGTAAACAGGAATATTTTATTTATTACAGCCTAAACAGAAAATTGAACGTATATCCATGTAGAAAATATTGATTTTCGGAGGCGACAATTTTCTATATATGTATGAATATACATGTCCTTAATTTCCACTTGAACGTGTCTACAATCGTGAGGCTAGAGCGGCAGCTAAACATTCAATGGACTTCGAAATGTTATTTTCTCATGTAAAAATTCAAAAGGTCGTCGTCGTCGAATCCGTTTGATTAAATTGAACTCTAATCTGATTCTAATATCTAATCCGTGTATTTTAAGATTTGTGAGAAAATGTGATGTTTAGGATTTCAGCACTTCGTTTTGAAGTTTAGTTATTTCAGCATACGACATTATATACCTGATGCACTAGCATTAACAATTTTCCCCAAGCGCATTTAATCCATAATTCTACGTTTACTCGCTCTAATGAGGAACGACCTTTTACATATGCCTTGCGAGCGGGAGTAACTGAAGCATATTGTTCACTAGTAGCCCGGCGTACAATATCGGTTAAAATAAAGCTGTCGAAGTTTTTATGAACAGTTCTCTGCGCGCGTGTTGGATGCGAAGAACGAGGATATCATTTGCGTGGCGCCGCCTTTGTGATCCGCTAAGCTGCCCGCGGTCAGATGCAGCACTCGATAGACGCGCTAGGAGGGACACATGGCACACCGAGGCGATAATCCTAGCAGTAAATACAAAGCTTATTAGGGCCCTGCCAAACACTGAGGGTCTCGCGAGGGCTTCATGGGCCGGTGTAGCAAAACTTCAGCATGTTTGATGGATTATAACGTACTAGTTGACCTTAGACCGCAATGTGCAATGTTTAATGCATGAAGATTGAATAATGTGACAATCAACACAGACAATCATGACGGGATGATGAGAAGACCTCATTTGTCACTTTTTACCTTGGTTTACACACTGTTAGAAAAATTACCGTTAACGGTATTACTGGCGTTTCAGTGGCCGGTCGGCACGTTAAAAGAAACACCGTGTCGCCGTTTTTATTCTAATTTAACACTAGAAATCCGTAAAACATCCGATAAAAACGGCGGAACAGTTTATTTTCACGGGGCGACCGGTTCTAACAGTGCAGTAGCCTTGGGCGAATAGGAACGTCAATTTGATAAAAATATTGACATGGTTACCGTTGATTTTCATGTTCATTCGAGGCATGATTTTTTATGACTGTCGTTCTGAATCGAACTTACAAGTTACATTGAAATAATTATTTTTTAGAAATAAAACAACCTTGAGTGCGTGTACGAATTTATTTTTCGTTAATCCTTAATGCGACAAAATAATAATGAATTCACATGAGTAGGCAAAACATTACATTAAAAATTTTAAATCGACAAATGTACATGCAAGAGACATATTCTGTTGCATATTCATAATGAAATGTTTCTTTAATTATGATGCTGTCTTCTATAAAAATGTTCACGACATAGCCATGCACACAAGCTCTAATTTCTTTATTTTTCCATTCAATCGCAGCTCGTAAATAAGCTACGTAAATTGTGGCTACTCCACCAGTATCTCTTTTAGCAAATGAACAGTCTCGAGCAGTTATACAAAACATTAATGAGTAAATTCGTTGCGAGTGTGAGTTGACAAAATGATAGTCTATTTGCATAAATAAACTAGAAACGGCCATCTTGAACAGACAAATATCCACATGTCCTAACCAGTAACAATTCTAGGACAAGATGAGTTGAAAAAATGTCGAAATTATATATATTTACTTGCATTTACGCAGTAAGTTATATTCATATTTCATTTATCGTTGATGTTGGATTCATTTAGCTTTAACCGCACAAGAGTACGATTAACGAATTACGATTCGTAGATATATTAATTCAATGCTCTTCGAAGAATTGTTGTACAGTAGATATTTTTCTGCCACCATGCACCTGCTTTATACCTGCATGTAGACTAGTGTCAGCTGCGCACGCTTTGAGGGATGGCATGTCTAACATTTCTGGGACTTTTTCTCGCAATATGTACATGCAAATAATTACATGCGAACATATTTATCAACTATATATTACAAGAGCATCTTTTACAGATCAAGTATAAGAACTAATTAATTAAAACTTTAAACGCATCTCAGGAAGTTTAGAAGTAAGCGAGAATCCTTTATGAAAAGAATTGTTATTAATTCAGGTAGCTTCAGGAGTATAACGTTGTTCCCAACATTTAACTTATACGAGAGTCCAGTAAATATAAGTCTAAAATATCAGTGTTGAGCGCAACACGGTGTCATAGTGGCGCAAAATTAACTGGCGAGTTTTTGAATGCTGTTCTAACGTTGTATTATAATCATTACATCGACAGTAATAATGACTGAAAATGATCTTTCAATCTCTCGCGCGGGCCACGAGGAAACTTATAAATTACTGCAAACGCATTTAAGGAACGCACACAAAGCGAACAGCTGCGATGGAACAAAGGCCATGGCACCCGTTGTAGTTACTGCTAAAAGTCACCCGATATCGTCTATCCCTAAAGAGCTTTTAACAAGAGAACCTAAAGAGCGTGACAAGAGCCGAGCCGCGAGGGAAGGATCGACCCGTGACTCAACTCTGGGTACAAGTTCTACTCAAACTTTGATAAAATCTGCAGAAATTGGCCTGCAAAGTATCAAATCAAATAGGAGGGAAACGTTGAAAATGGAGATTTTTCTTACGTAACTTTGGATTTTTTGTAATTTGGGAAGAAATAAAACTATGAGTTTTGGTGTCATATGGCAAGGACTGCCTAAGGGTTGGAAGCAGAGGAGATGGAGCCATAATAACATAAGAGGGCAGGGAGAGGAGCTAACAATGCCCGTACACCCCATCACACCATCTGCCGACCGAGGGGAACTACGCTGCGTCGCTTCACCACAGCAACACGCCGCTCACGGACCTCTCGTGGCGCAGCCTTGTGCTGATTTCAGCGCAGAATCTACATCAAGAAATCTTTGCTGAATTTGGACCGGCCAACCGTATGGCGGCTAAAACTGGACAATGGGATCAATTTTTTGGTCCATTGTGAACGAATGAATAGATGACGAATACTAAATCCTAAGCAACGAGAGCGCTGCCGCATGGATCGTCCTGCTCCGGTCACGAGTGTGATTCTTCGTCGCCACAGGATATCCTCCAACAGAATTGATTTGATACTCTATTGTTTTCATTCAATTTGTTCTTTGGAAAAGAGGCGTTTGATTTAGATGAATGAGTTGATCCACACAGTTCGATCACTGCATCTTTTAAACGAGTAATTCTAGTTAGCACTAATAATTTATACAATTCTCTCTCTAATGAGAAGAAACACAGTAAATTCTAATGTGCCTGAATTAATTAATATGCAAGTGTGAACTTGTGCTCGTTGCTCCCTCAAACAAAAAACAAAGCGACACAATAAAATTATCAATTTAAAAGGGTCATGCACAAATAGCAACCAAAATTAGCGCGAAAGTTACGTCTTCTGAATCATGCTTCGCTAAGTGAGATCTTGCTTCAAAGTTATACGTGAGAATGCCTAAAATATAATTTAATAATATTTTACATAGTACAAATCAACTGGACTAAGCAAGATCAACTGCCCGATGGAGCAACGAACACCAAAACCTTCCAGCCCATGCAGCCCCCGAAACGTTGTGCATAACATTCTTATGACAGGGTTTCATTACGATTCGTCTATACTTAATTGATAATTTATAATTCATTGGCAATTTATGCTTAATAATCATGAGTTAAAAGTTTCAGGATTCGTTTCCTACGATCTCGTAACTATTGCTCCGTGACACGGCGGAGTTTTGACTATTTCATACACGTTCTCCGAATTAATTCATTCCAAGACCAATCCTCAAGAAAAAAATTACAAAAACGAGAGATCTGTAAATTGTAACGTTGATCCATACGTATAATAAAATTCCGCATCGTCATCATGAGGATTGCTTTGCTCGGACTGCACCCAAACACTGCTCATTATATCGTAAAACATTAATCATAATTACACAAGTACTTGCATGTATATAATATCGGTTATTCTTTCCTTCCTGCTGCAATGTACACTAATTTCACTTACTTTGTTTATCAAATAAATTTAAATTAACTAACACTATTTACAAGTTTGTCATTTTAGTGACATTTTTTTTAAGAACGCAGATTGTATCACCATTTCAGTATGACAATTTATAATAATGTTGTTAACAGTAGTATAATTGAAAAGTTTCGCTTCCATTCAGTCATCCAAGTCGGTACCTGAAATGATCACGCGTGTCTATTTATTCGAATAGAATGGTTTAAATTTATCTGAAATTATACGAGAGGCAAGATAATTTTTCAACCAAAGCTCTAAAAAATAAGCAAAATATGTTGTTCATGACATTCGATCAATGCAGAATACGTGGGTTCAGGAATCAAGTTGCGAATGGAACTGACGTGAACCTCCATCTCGGAGTTAATATAGTCATGAACATACACTTCGAAGTGAATGTGTGCGTGTTCGTGTGTTACAGTGTTAACATAATTGCATAGTGCAAGCGATGGATCTTTTCGAGCAATACATTTTTTCCGAACATTAGGTCATTTTTTACACATGATACAATTTGTTGAAATCAAAAGGAACATTTATACTACAATTTCGCTCAGCATGTATCTATGTTAATCCCAAGTATATAATAAGCACAGTACCTAACTTTACAAATGCTCACGAGCACCTTCAACAAGACAACTTTGAAATCAACGGAATACAATTCCGTTAATTCTTCACGGATCTTGTAATTCAACTCAGATTATGTGGTCAGTGATAAGTAGAAACTAAATGGGGCGCGGTAGAATAAACAACTGTTGAAGAAATGAAGAAACAACTGTCAAGAACAAAAATTCTATTGCAGGGATGACTTGAAATGGCCGTTGAAAAGAGGAGTATTACTAGGGAGTGGTGGCGGAGGCTGTTGCGGATGATGTTCAGACAGGAGCTGTTGCTGCTGAGGTCGTTGCTGGGGTCGTTGTTGCGGCTGCGGCTTGGAGGAAGATTCAGCCCCCGCCGTATTGCCCATAGAAGTCCGGAACGCTGGGAAATTATCGCTGGCGAGCATTGCACTTGGGTCCATGAGAGCGGATGGGGGTAAATGGGTGAGGTGGGCACCTGGATGGTTGAGGTAAGTCACCACCCGCCGCAGTTCTTCGATGGCATTCGCCTGCATCAGTATGTAGTTCTTGGCGAGTAAAAGTGTTGCAATTTTCGATAGTTTGCGCACGGAGGGCGAGTGCGCGTAAGGGATGACACTGCGCACCTCGTCCAGGGCGTCGTTGAGGTCGTGCATGCGGCGTCTCTCGCGAGCGTTGATGGAGAGTCGGACGGTTTTCTGCTGACGCATTTTACGCACGTTGGAGTTTTCGAGGAGGTAACTCTGGGCGCTGCTCGACGTGGGACTTTCTTCCTCCTCGGCGCTCACGCCAGATCCATCAGTGTGTTCCTCCGCCGGTCGTTCTTCTTTTACTCGCGGAGAAGGGTTTCGATTTTCGTTGTTGGAGGCGTAGCCGAAATCTGAATTAACAGCTCGAGTCGAAAGATCTGACAGGCACGGAGAAGGACGCACTGAAGGCGAGAAGTGAAATGGAGGGCAAAAAGCTCCTGAAGAAGGCGTGTTGAGGTCTTGTCGTCTGTGCAGAAGGGACGAGTGATGGGTCAGTGGGGGAGGAGGGTTGCTGTTGGTGCGCTGGTGTCGGGACAGGTCACTCAGGAATAAGTTCTCTGCACCCATCAGGCCGTGATATGACAGGCCGTTCATGGGGGCGCTCCTGAAACACAAAATATTCCGATATTTTACTGACTAACATCGCTGTGTATTAAAATCTAAAGTTTAAAGTGAAGTTGCCACAATAGAACAGGGCAAACAGATTTTCTCGGGCGGCAATGATGCCCAACACGAGTTATTATCACCATAATATTATTCATAATTCAATTTTACTTCATTTTCAGCAGCGAATTTAATAACTGTAATTTTCAGGTAGATTTCATCAAAGCATTTCATTTTTGAGCAACAAAGATTTCATTTTTTAGCAACAGAATATATATCCTTAAAGGACATAAATAACCAATTAGATATTGAAATTTGATAATCAAAAAGATACAACGTAAGAAATTTCACACATTACCAACAAAAGATGATTAAGCAACAAAGAAATCGTAACACAAATTATTAAGCACAAACCATATCTAGAGCGAGTCTTGTTCAGCAAAGGCTAATAAATGGAAGCATCAGCTAGTACACACCGATCCATTTCAGGAAGCGAAGGCAATTTTCTCAGCCTGATGGGATATGATGCAAGATGGTAGATACACGAGCCACTGCCGTGAATACAGAGTTATTGCACACCAACACTTGGCAGAAGCTCGATCATAGGCAACTGTTTTTTCTTCACTTGTAGGAAAAAATCAAGCCTTTCGAAAAATAACTAGAAATGTACGTTATCCAGCTAGAATGAAAATTAATTAATTAATTAATTAAAAATTACTTTATTTGTAGTCCATATGTCGTTAGACTACCGTCGAATATCGGCAACTGTGAACGTATCACTAATGAAGAATTATGACACCATCCATAAAGTGCATTAGCTCACCACGACACAATAACTTGCATTGTACTGATGATGATGAGATTTGCAATAAATCATCCACGTATTCGACCAGAAAAAATTATACACGCAGTTTATATTTATAGAGATGAGCAATCACGTGGTGCTGATGTGGTCCATATGGCCTGGAACATCCAGCGCCCTCACGGCAGAACACCTCGCGAGTAACTGCTGTGCGAGGGCACCAAGCGCCGCCCTCGTTACCCTCTTATCTTCGTCTCCGGATTGGCTGGACCCTCTAAAAAGAACCCTTTGCAGAGCCTGCTATTGGTTCTTGTATGAGGAAACTAATCCAGTATCGACCAATGGCAGTACAGAATTAGAAGCAAGCATGAATTTTGAGAAGTCTTCATTGGTCGCACAAAATTAGCCGAAGCCAATAAGAGGCGCGACTCTCATGACTGATGACCGAGGGAAATGGCTCGGTTTACAATTTTTACTCGTGTTCTGGTGGACTCTGAAACAACTTTGTTTGGGAACAATCAGCATTTTAATAGGCTGTTCCAGAAGCGCCAACAAATGACTGGTGTCGAGCGTAAAACTGTAAATTGTGGAACGTCAAGTTAAGCGATCGCTCGATCTCAGCGATGGAGCCGTGCAGTTGTCGGTGGTTGCGGCGATGATCACGTAATAAGTGGATTAATTTAGGCTTGACTGCCGCAGCTGTGAATAAAAGCTGGGGAACTCGTGGCAAATTTAGACAAACCATTCAGAATTCACGTACTAGGTGCACGTGCAATTTTCAAGGAAGTTTTTCTATTGCAATAAAAGAAAATTATTTAGTGCCTCAGAGATTTTGCATGTAAGCGACAAATTCCACAGCTATAAAATTCTTGAGTATCCGCTCCGATACTTATCTTTCGAGCGGTTACTTTTCTGCTACTTTAGTCATGTTAGATGATCAGAGTAAATTCGAAGTTCAAGGAAAACGCTACCTTATAATATGCAATTGCTCATTCAAGCGTGTATTAGTAGAAAGAGAAAGCTTCAACTATATAGGGGCTTCAGAAAGAGCTGTCATTTATCGTAAATCGAGAACTAATTAGTTACCGCCGACAACGGGCGAAAGTATCAAAGAAGAAATGCTTGGAAAACAGCGATCAAAATTGTAACGCTATCACGATGTCGCAGACATCTGACTAGGACTTCGTAATGCGTCTCCTGACAGATCAAGTTCCTATCAAAGTATCTATCATATTCATGAATATTTCAGTCAGAGCATTGAAAATTAATCAAACATGCGTTTATTTACTCGTTAGACTTAATAATTTATTCAAAGTAAAGCAACCAAGTTTCAATATAAAGTGTAACAAATGATAACAGACAAAATAATTCAGGAAGAGTAGATCGAAACACACGAATTTACTTCTATACTTGTCTATTTGAAATCAGCTGTGGAGCGTACAAAGTATCACCAGAATTAAAGCAAATACGGATCAGATTAACTATACTAATACTAATGAGAAATCCAACACGGAGAATATAGTACTTTAGTACAGCGCCGTGAGATCACAGAAGTAGAAATTAAATGCATGACCTAATGAATGACGCGCTTAAGCATGAATGTATAGAGCGACAGCGATATACATATTACCGGTATGTAAATATCGTAAATATGTAAGTACGCAGACAATACTTACGTTTAACACGCCCCTTGTCAAACATCAGAACTGACCAGGAAATGAAGAACAGAATGAAATCAAATTTAGGACGTTATATATATTAAACCTGTCCGAATGCACCTGCAGGAAAGAAATCCTACAAAGCATTGAATGGAATCACGAACACATAAAAAAATCCGCTCCACAATCAACTAAACAACTCGAGATGGAGCTCTTCCTGCAATTCATCTCTTGCAAAGAAATAAATGTGAAAGTAACCGACATGGTAAGCATCAAATGAACCTCTCAGGGTGTGAATGCTGGTTATCTCAGGCAGTTGTAACTGTAAGGGACACTCAGGACTTATAAGATTGGTCAAAGATACATCGCACAAAATAATTAACATCAAACAAACTTTTAATACAAATACAACGACATTTGCTGCCGTCGAAACCTCTCCTCATTACGGGAGCTCGTGTTCAAAAAATCTGCTAAACTATAGTGGAACATGGAAATAATGACATATAACCGGCAATACAAATCCTTACGAAAAAAAGACATAACTGGCAATACAAAATCCTTGCGAAAATAAAAGATATAACCGACAAAACCGGTATTACAAAATCCTTACGAAAAAATGACTTGACTGGTAACAAAAAATCCTTACGAAAATAAAAGACATAACCGACATTAAAAAATCCTTACGAAAAAAAGACATAATCGACAATACAAAATCCTTACGAAAATAAAATACATAACCGACATAACCGGCAAAACCAAGTCCTTACGAAAAAAATGACATAACCGGCAGGCCCTGTGAGTATTGTGAGGGCCCTGTGAGTAGGCAATACAAAATAATTATGAAAAAATGACATAACCTGCAATACAAAAATTTTTAAGAGAAAATAATAAAATACCTGAGAATGTAAAATTCCATACAAAAAAAATATAACGACATTACCGGCAATATGGAATTACCTAAAATATAAAACGCGCGTTAAAAAAAAGATCTCCCACGATGCCATTTAACCAACCATACCAACGAAAATAGGAAGCTTTTAGAGGATATTTGTCTACATGAGGCAGAGTTGTTCATCTGTAGCATCGAGTACTGCATCTGTCCCAACTTTTTACGAGACTCTTTTGATCGTGGACATTTCTTTATACATTTCACTAAATGATAACTGCCTTTCACTCTAAATTTAACCTCATTGGAACTCAAAGTTGGATGACATGCATATGGCATCAAGAGCATCAGGAAGAGCTATCAATAATTTCCAACCTTGTAAAAAGTAATTTCTGAACGCGTGACGCATTATAACAAATTAAACATGTGAGAGAACATGCGGTGGTGAGACGCAGCAACATAAACATCCTTCAATGTAAAACGTACAATTCAAAGATTAAATACTGAGCACAAAATGGTTCAGAGAACGTTTGCCAACTCAAATAAGAATATCAACGTTTATACTCATGAAATGAATAGGAGTTATTACTGGCAGCTGGCGTTTGATGCAGTCGCAAACTTTATTTTAAGAATCAAAACGTGCTCAGTAAATTTCAGGAACAGATGAGAATGCCAATTCTTAATACTATTTTCACGTTGTTAGCCATAAATTTGACTAATGTCTTATACCACATTCCATTCAAAACTATAAAATGCCTTCAGTAGCCCCAAACTATTCTCCTACTTAAGACGCAAGGATTTTGGTTCCCGTTTTCAAACCGAACACGCAGCTCAGGATAAATGTCAAATATTTCATGATTAACATGGAATTTCCTTTGCATTGGTATGGTTTAATTTCCATTATATAGGACATGGGAAGGTCCAGTATTGTTACATGAATGACTTATTTTATCATCATTCAGACGATGATTGAGAGCAGAGCTCGGCAAGTCCGCGGTCCACGAGGAGACTCGAGACGCAGACGCTGTACATGTCGTCGCCGGGCACAGACTGCGACAGCAGCGAGACGCCCACGCGACCCATCACCCTGAAATTACATACACTCTAATTAATATCTTAATTACATACACTCTAATTAATAGCTTAATTACATACACTCTAATTAATAGCTTAATTACATACACTCTAATTAATAGCTTAATTACATACACTCTAATTAATATCTTAATTACATACACTCTAATTAATATCTTAATGTTGGGAATGGTACTCCTGGACAACTGTTCACCCAGATTTGAAGTCAAAGAAATGCTGGTATAATTAACTATAATCTCATTTAGAACTTAGGATCGAAAACATGAGGAATTTACCGGCATTTTTTGCTTTTAATTCTTTATTATTTTGCGATTTAATAAATAAAAAAATTCTAATGCTAGAAAACTAGGTCATTTAAGAAAGTTTACGACGGATTTGTCTCTGGACGAAGATTACGAATTCCTCGAACGATCGATCTTCGATTCAACAAACAAGATAAGTGATACATAAATTCTTTACACAAGTTATGTGCAATTGACGACTCGGCAGAACATAGAGTTGAGAATGACGGCGAATACGACACAAAAAATGATAACAATCATGTCACATAATTCCAAAGACTAATTGTACATTATACATATATAGTCCTCATCTCAGGTCATACTTGGGAAATTTTTTGAACTCTGCTTTGAATGATTCAGTAATGGGTCCGTGTATAGTGACAATTGTTTGTGCCCTTTTTGCAGAAAATTTTATACGAGCGCAATGCACACAAATCAAAATCAGTTTATGTAACCGTACCCTTTGTACATCCATGAGCAAAAAGCTAATTTTATAAAGTTTTTAATGTTTTAATTCAATGGTATGCAAGTGGCTTTGCATCATCTATATAATGAAGGTATCATAAATAAATAACGTTGCTTGGTTGCTACTAAAACGCAACGGGCAGGACTGTTCCGACTTATTTACTAAATTGGTTTGATGACATCGGACTTTCGACAGCGCTTCCAACATCTAATAATACATATATATAATAGGCGTTGGTGTTGAGAATAGTGAGCACAATAGGCGTTCGTGTTGAGAATAGTGAGTACAATAGACGTTCGTGTTGAGAATAGTGAGCTAATAAGCGAGCACAATAGGCGTTCGTGTTCGTTCATGTAGGGAAAAGCGAGCACAATAGTGCGCCTAATAGACAATCATAGAGTCTGACGTGTCGACGTCGACGACGGTGGCGACGACCAGCGACTCAGGGCGCCGTGCGACGCTCGTGAGCAGCTCAGCGGCGTCGCGCGTCCAACCTTCAGCGCCCGCCGGCCGCACGTCGTGCAGGTAACATTCAATCGCCTGCCCAGCATCATGATCAATGTAATCCAGAGAATATCATCAATACAACACGGAAATGATACACATAATTAAGACATTATGACTTCCGACTTCCATCGTCAAGAATTGCAAGAGAGGAAATGTGCAGTAGAGCAGGTAAAGGCCCGTTTACACTAGAGGCAACGACATGCGCTTTGAGTCGTTTGCTGCAGTGCCTCACCGCGCACAACCGTTCACACTACTTTTGTACTCGGTAGTTTGAGACCGCGCACTTTGAACACTAGTTGCCACCTAGACGTCAATGAGGATGGATGTAACCGAATTTGAGCTGTGGGCCATTGTTCTCGGGTGTGCTGCGGTCCGTCATTCTGCGCACTATGCCAGTTGTAAACGAGAATTTAGCATAAGCATCATAATTAGAGAACTAGCACATTCAAAAAGATACAGTTTATAAAAAATATAGTCTATCCTTAAATAAAGAGTTTCAATATTCGTACCGATATTATATCATCCTTTGAAATCGCTAAACGGTAATGCATAAATTGTCAGGAGTTGCTAAAATCACATAAACTAAACACGTCATGTAAAAATAACTTACATCATTTGCATTTCGATTATTGTACTCCTTTGACCGAACACTCCATAGGCATTCGTGTTCTCTATAAAGATCAATTAGGCCCTCTACTAAAGAGTGACTCCAAACGAGAGTGGTGTTAGTCGACATTTGGTGTGCCGGACCAGCGTACACAATCAACCTTACTAGACCACAGACAGCTATCTACTAACTAAGAATTTAAAAGCAAAGAATAGTCCACAAAAATTCATATCTTTATAGAAAACGTTTCGGAGACCAGCTCCATCGTCAGTTCGTAGAATCTAGAATAACAAATTAATATATTGAAACCATAGAACGAATTGAATTTCTTTAATTAAATAATTTAGATTTTTAACTTGATTTAAATTTTTAATTTAACTTAAACTCTCAGTTAATTTGCGATTTAAGCATACAAGTGATATCAATTCTTTAATAGCTATCTACTAAGCGCCGCGCTTGTGTTTCATGAGGCATGGCCCCTGTCAATCGGTCAAGAAGCGCATGCAGAGGCTGCAAAGCGCCTCTGCATGCGCTTTGAGGCACTTGATTCTCGTGTGAACGGGCCTTAAGAACTCTACCAACCAGTGGGGGTGATAAGGTGTTGTGGGGCATTACTAACTCGTACTGGTCGTAAACGTCAGTAATGTACATAGCGTTGCAACAAGCTTGACATACCCACACGCCGGAGGCTGTCAAGGTGCGAGTTATAAAGAGTTTAAAAAGTTTCAATCAATTAGGAAAAATAGACACATGAGCGGTTCTTTTATCCACCGGTAAAATTATAATCATAATGGCTCTTCCGATATCCGCAATGGCTTTAAACGACGATCAATTACACACAGGCGCATTTACGACTAGATTATCGATCAGTAAACGCGTCGACCTTAGCCGTCAATCTCTTGTACTATGCAAGTTTAATATTTAGGTGAATAGAATTCACAAAGCTTCAGTGTATATGATTCGTGCAGATTGATTCAAGTCATGGAAGAACCCTTCAGCTAACTTGATATGGTTCCTCAAGCGTCTTCATTCGGTTTCCTGGTCCAGCAAAGCGTTGCGATTTATCTCTTAACTGACATATCGTCCAGCAAAAATGCCGCAAAAAAAAGCAGGATGCACACATCAATGATGTTGGTGCACCTTTGTCTCTCATCCAATATGCTATCTGTCGTCTCTCTCGAGGCACTCCTTTCGAAAAACAAAGACGCCGTGAGACTATCGCACACACGCCCAAAACCCTACAACTCAGAGATCACACTCTAAAAAAAATATAAACCCGACAATTACGAATTAAAAAGTTTGCTAGCAATAAATAACCTAAATAATTCTGCATGAAAAACACTAGCAATTTTTACTTGCCTAATTTTCAATAAATAAATACTCATTATATTTGAGGTCAATACAACGTAATACAATTACAACGCTGCACCACCAGTGCAGGTGTACGCAGCACCACCAGTAGCACCCACCAATGCAGGTTGATGCACGAAGACGGGGTGCAGATCCCTGAGGCGGACTTCATGCAGCCAGCAGCAGCAGCCCACGTCCAGGAAGAAGACCTGCACGTAGCTGCCCTCTAAACTCGAGGGCGCCTCCTCCACCGGGCACTCGGAGGCGTCGGGAGCGTCGCTCACAGCCACGACCCTCACACGATACCAGAACAGCGGTCCACGACCTGTACATGATAAACAGCGGTCCACGACATGACACACAGCGGTCCACGACCTGCACGACATGACACACAGCGGTCCACGACCTGCACGACATGACAAACAGCGGTCCACGACCTCACGACATGACACACAGCGGTCCACGACCTGCACGATATGACAAACAGCGGTCCACGACCTCACGACAAACTGCACAGGAGAAACATGACAAACAACCTTGACGATTATTGTGACAAGTAAATAATACAATGATTTCGTAGTCACGCTATTACGTACACAGCAGTAGAGATCTAATTAAAATGGTTTAAATAACAAAGACACAGAAGTGCAAAGTCTTGACCATTAACAAGTTTGAGATACATTGATGTATAGACTTCAGACCACGGTGATGTGAACAATTGATTTAAATTATGAGAATAATTTCTGGGACGCGCGTGTAATGCCAGCTGACAATAAAATAACTCCATTACGGTATGCCATATTTCTCCGTTGATCACGAAGTTCGGGTACCTAACCCAACATCACAGAACGTTCTTCAAGACATTGATAATCTTATTCCAATTTAAAATATCTCAATTAAAATTATAACTCAACGATGAATCAATTGAAGAGCCATGAAGATTCATGTAAGAGATCAGAGTAAAGGTATTACACCTTGCTGTGGTACCAAGTGGAGCGGTGACATAGTTCACCTTGCTGTGGTACCAAGTGGAGCGGTGACATAGTTCACCTTGCTGTGGTACCAAGTGGAGCGGTGACATGGTTCACCTTGCTGTGGTACCAAGTGGAGCGGTGACATGGTTCACCTTGCTGTGGTACCAAGTGGAGCGGTGACATGGTTCACCTTGCTGTGGTACCAAGTGGAGCGGTGACATAGTTCACCTTGCTGTGGTACCAAGTGGAGCGGTGACATGGTAGACTGTGCAGCCATGATCTGTCCCAGCGCGGGCAGCTCCGCAGACACGGCAGGGTAAGAGCCAGCGTAAGCTTCTTCCATCTCGGCACACAGATCACTGAGAGTCTTGTCATCTTCCTCTTCAGGATCACTGGCTATGGGGACATCATATTGAGCGGTCAGGAAAAATTGTATGATAATATCTACACACGAAAGTGTAGATTCCAGAGCATTTTAAGAAACTTGGATTCGTGCTGTAATTTGGTGCACATGAGACTGGCATTAGAAAACAATTGTGCTCGTGTATGCATTTTTGAACATGAAGATGAACACATGATATTCAATTCTAAGAATAAAGTTTTTCGTTATTTGAATACATTTGGAATTTTTTAGACAAGAACGACTGTACAAACCAATTACAGTCCAACGTCTAAATTCGTTCACGCTAATAGAGCATAACAGCAAATATTTGCTTTTGACGAAGAGTGAACACAATTTAAGTAATCGTGTAACTGATACCAAGACGTGATTAACTTTACCAAGACCAATAGTACAGGGATGACAGATTTTAAGACTAGTTTAGTGACTAAAGCCAAGTAGTTAACTAGCGCTTTAACTATTCAACTATCTCGCACTGGAAGTAACGAATAAACATCACCAACGAGGTGGAAGGTCTGAATTATCACAAATTTCACACGTAAAAATCGTTCATCTCTACCCACAAGAGGCAGGTCTCAGGTGGCCAGCCCGCTGTAGCTGACTCGACAGAAGCAACGTTAGCATCTCAAAAATACGAGGTGACAGTTAGGGATACGTGAACAGCAGCAGAATCGAAAACACTTGAACAAGAGACCTCTTGCACGAGACGTCGGCGCTCGCACGAGAGAGACAGAGAGGATCGCACAACAGAGACAGTTGTTATTTGAGCATCTTGCCTACATAACAACTTAGGCCCACATGTGAGCCCGAAGTCAAATGAGACAAGCTCTGTGATGGGACGCTCAGGAACAATGCTCCTTGCAACGCGAAATACCAGAAAGCTTATGAGGAGCATAGACACACGTCAGAAGAAGAGGAGTAGATTTAAAATACAATGAATGACGAAACACGCTTAATTGTCCATAAACAAAAGTTTTTGCTTAACTCACGATGAAGGCGAAGACCGAACGGCAGGTTTACATAGAACATGGAAGGCGATACCACGGCCGACACGCGCACAATCAAGTGTGCTCCTTCGTCCGGAAGTTGAGGATCGCGGAGCAGGTTGACGAACACGGGGACTCGTTTGCAGGACAACCCATCTGAAAAAGTAGGAATATATTAAATGTTAACATCTTTAAATGCTTAGCGTCTCACATGAAAACTTATTCAACTACGCCGAGCTTCATCGTTTTGTGAACCTTTTGGTCGTGTCTATTTTATGCGACAATTACAAGAGAATTGTTATCTAAAGTTCCTCATGGTTAGGTTTCCGAGAATATTCTGCTGTATTAAATTTCATTTCATCCTTCGATTCTCAAGCTTCCATATCTAACGGCTAAACAAAAATTTAATTATTCCCCACTCATTCTTTCATATCCAGTTTGTGGTTCCGAACGACATGCATTTTAGCGTGTAGCTCATCTATTCAAAGATATAAATGTATACTTGTAAGAATTTACACTATTCATTAGACAAACTGTGCAACCGTCTCCAATGCAGTTATCCTATATGAAAGATTAGCATGTAATCAAGAGATTCTAATAAACTTTCCAGCGCGGTAAATAAATCATATTATTTATTTCATATCGAGTATATTATATTTTGTAACAATTTTGTAAGGTGGATAATATCAATATATAAATAAAGATAAGATTTATAAAGAGATACCCGAGCGGAGCCCAGTAATCATAGCCATCGCAAAATCCTTGTGCAGCAAACACCAACAAGGAGATCCCTGACCATTCACTACCCAAAAATGAAGTTCTTATCAAGAAAATAATTATTTTATTAAAAGAAGGATTCAACACTCTAAATAAGTCACGGATTTCACTGTTTTAATCAACGGCTATAGTTTTCGAGCATCATAATGATGCATAGATATCATCTGTTATGCAAGATAATTCAATGAAGATTAGATTAGTTTCATGATTTCACCTGAAACGAACATGAACGTCGTTGAATAATCAAAATGTACACATTGTGAAATAAAGTTTCCAACTGTACAAGTCACCCACAAAAATGTGCAGAGTGGGTTGTCAAATGTCGTGCGTGTTTGAGCATAGAATGTATCGAGGTTAATAATTCTCTGTAGTGAAAAATTTTGATCCTGACCTAGTTTGCTGTAACTGAATACGATTCAAAGCGAGACGAGTTGTAGACTTCTGCTCAAGCATCTGTTAACAAGTTACGATCCTGCCTCGACGTACGGTGGCGAAAAATTTCATGATATTCGAATTTTCACTGTTCCCTTTACCACGTTTTACTGGTATCGTATCAAATCCTTGTCATAACTGACATCGATATTTTGTGGTCCTAAATGCGACCATCTAACATTGCAGCAAGTAGAAGATTTTCATAATAATAGTATAACGTAGGAATTATCACGTAATGTCTTCAGAACCAGATTTTTTTCAGTTAATTTTTCGTACATGTTTGCACTCATGTTAGAGCTCGATTATTAAGACCTAGCAATATTCAATAATAAACATAGAATAAAGTCAACCTCTCTAGTCGAGAAATTCAAAAACAATCTTTGTTCCATCTTCAAATTGAATTTTCTTCCTTATGTTTCATGCTCTACCCAAGTAGAAACTTAGGGGAAGAGCATAACAAAGGTCGAATTCTCAACAGCATTAAACTATCTAAAAAAGTTGAATTTACTTTTCCAGAAAAAATATGATGTCATTAGGTATCAAAGAAACTTTTGCGATAGGATGACGCTCAGGCGGAATAATCATAATTACATAAAGTTTGAAAATGACAGTGAAACGGAATTTAGACGGAGCGACACTGCGAAAGATATTATACAGCGATCATGAACGATTCTAGCAAACTCCAACGCGATAAACAACTCATAAGATACGATTTATGTCGAATGCCCTTTAATTTAAGCATATAGTTTTATATGGGGGATAGCGCGAACGCAGTCCCCCGCTACCAAAAATTACGCACCCGAGTTACCCACATTTGGGGTAATCGCAAGGGTCAGCAACACCGGAGTGCAATGGTGAGCCTCGCCCTGGGGGAACCGCCTTCATGATCACGGTATCCCCTGTGCCAGGTAAGTATGCTCTTTTTCGTTCCGCGTGGACCCCCTCTCTCCATGACTGGGCACAAGAAACTTTCCGAGGGACACTGAGGTGTAACAAATTCCTGGCGCTCCAGCTCATTCACAGATAATATACACCAGAACGGGGCCGAGTAATCATTGCCATCACAAAATCCTCGTGTGGTTAACGCTAACAAGTGACCATTATCTACCCATAAATTAGTTAATTATAAAGAAAATGATTATTTGATAAAAAAAATTGAACCATGTCAATAAGTTTCGGTTTTCATCGTCTTATTCAACAGTTATCTTTTTCGAACATCATATATAGCACATAGATATCATCTATTATGAAAGGAGATTAAAAAAATATTAGATTAGTTTGATGATATCATGAAAGGAGATTAAAAAAATATTAGATTAGTTTGATGATATCAACTGAAAAGAACATGAACGTCGTTGAATTATCAAATTGTAGACATGTGAAATAATGTTTACCCATTATACTAGTCACCCACAGAAATGTGCATAGTGGTTGTCAAACGTCAGGCGTGTTTGACCATAGATTGTATAGCGGTTAATAATTTTCTGTAGTGATAATTTTATATCCTGACCTAATTTGCTGTTATTGAATCCAATTCGAAGCGAAATGAGCTGTAGACTTTTACTCAAGCATCTGTTAACAAGTTACGATCTTGCCTCGACATACGGTGGCGAAAGATTCAATGCTACTTGAATTTTCACTCTTCCCTTTACCACGTTTTACTGGTATCGTATCAAATCCTTGTCATAATTGACTTCGATATTTTGTGGTCATAAATGCGACCATCTAAGATTCCAGAAAGGAGAAAGTATCCAGAATGCCAATATAACGTAGGAATTACCGAATGTCTTGGGAACCTGAATCATTTTCAGTAAATTTTCCATACATGTTGTCCCTCATAGTAAAGCTCCGTTATGAAGTCTTTGTCATAATATATAATAAACATGGAATAAATCAATTCCACGAGTCAACTAATAAAATATAGCTTATGTTGAGAGGTAAGAAACCATCTATTTTTGTCCAGTCTTCGAATTGAATTTTCTACATTTTAATGTTTAACGCTCTCCCCCAAAAGGATAAACTTCAAGTTAGCGCAACCAAGGTCGGATTATCAACAGCATTTATCTTATTTGAAACATCTGAGACTCGTTTCCCAGAGCAAATCTGATGTCATGAGATATCAAGTATCAAAGTAATCTTTATGCTTGATGATAAGACTTGCTGATAGGATTTTTAGTAAAGCTTACTTATGAAGTCCTAATCACTTTGGATACTTAATTCTCAACGTTTAATCAAGTCAACTTCCAGTTGATTCGCTAATTAATTGAGGAATGTATTTAATCACAAATTTAAAACTATCTATGTTTCTCAATTTCCTAAATTGAAAAGTACTTCTTGCATGCTTTTATCTTATTGCCCATGAAAGAAATCTTTCCAGTTTGCTGTAGCCTAGTAGATTTTCATTACCATAAACTCTTTCCGTAGTAGCGAGCGGAGATATTTCCTGTGAAAATTTGATTTTAATGTGTTCATCCGTTAACATTCTAACAGGTTAGTGAGTTGTTGCATCACATTTTGGCATTCGTGGAGTACTAGGAACTTGCAACGTGGAAAGATCCTAGTTCCTTGTTTTCAATCTTGAAACTGGCTAGACTAAATATCGCAAGAAATATTTAAAGAGTGTTTCGATAATTTAATCGCAACACAATCAACGAAGGAGCACGGCAGACAATTTAAAGTTTCATAAAGAATGGACTGAATGTCATCTATAAATTTAAAACGTATAGTAGCCGGAATTATGGCCGCAATAAAAGACCGCACAGCTGCATGCCGAAAGCAATGAGAAGACATTTGGTCAAAGGAGACGTTCCAGTTCGCTAAATTTTCATGGTCTGCATATTCCGAACCAAAAGTTCAAATCTAGCATGAAGATACACAAAAACTCATAATCATCAAGAAAGCCTATCAATTAAATTTATGGGGAAACTTATTTCTGAAGCCAGTGGATTCCCTTCTAAAAATTATTCGGTAAGTTTTCCGGTTTCTTGATCAACATCAAACCAAACTCTAAAAGATTCAGTGACATGTCTGAGTAGGATGATCTTCAAATGTCTCTACAACTCAGAAAAGTTTCGTGAGCTCGCTTCCCACAAATAGACTTGAATAAAAATTGACCACAGTTTGCTGCTTTTGCTTGAAATTGTTTTGAACAAAAATTTATAACCGACGAGTTAGCGCATGAAACAGTCCGCAAGTTTCATTTCACTGAAACTCCGAATTTCTAATAAATCAGATTGCCTCCAAACGGAAAATAAAAATTCTTCAGTATGGTCGTCTTATTTATAAAAGCCTCAGTAAAATAGGCCATGGGCCTATTTCTTCAACGCCGACACTTCTATTCTTATTTTGTCAAAACTTCATATATTGTGTGTGTACACTATGGCTAAAGCACGTGCGTAACTTTAATTTACATAGCCGTTGAAATCTGTCTAAATCCACACAATCAAAATTATATAATGAATCCAATTTCTAACAAGCATTTTTGGTAAAGTATGCGCTAAAATCTGTCTCAGATTCTCTGTCAAGAATTCAAGCAGATAATCAATAAAACGCTTTGACAGAAAATTAGCCTCAGCGGAGACCCAAATATTCTAAGCTTAATGAATACCCTATTAAGTAAAAAATATTCTTTAACGGTCGATTTGTCCTCTTTAACGGTCGAAAAATACATGAAATTCTCAATAGTGTACACACAAATGAGTAATCTCTTAAATTTGTGAGCGATAGTGTCCGAAGCGATTTGAATTCCAGAGAAGCAAATACGGGTGAGGCCGTGTGTTCAGTACTGCTGACACAAGGGCGAGCGCGAGCCATCAAGCCTAGGTGTATAACACCGTCCTTGTCTTGGGTGAGACGCAGGGTCTATGATCGTACGAGAGCCTCTGTCGTGCTGACAACAAGATTTAACTATCACGCAACTTCTGTTGCAATTTCTGGAAGCCTCTTTACTTTACAAGAGGCTAAAAACGTGCAATGTCACAAAACTCGCAAATTCTCTCAATTGTCAGAGCTCAAAATTAACAAAATTCACCACAGACGCGTTAGTTACAACTTTACCAGTATGAACATTTAAAGCTTATTTATGTCTACAGTTCGTTATCTTTATAATTTATATCAATATAACTTTCCATGCAGTTACATTTCGATTCAGCATACCTTGGCGCTAATGGTTAGAAGTGATGATGAATAAAGAATGGCACGGGTCAAAGATATATGTCATCTGTCGCCTCATCGAATTTTGAGAGTGCAGACATGCAACACTTAGACGACAGAAGGATAACGATGGAACATTTCCTACATAATTGAAAAGTGATTTGATAGCTACATGTAATACGCAATATAAGTTTGTTCAATCGATCACTCCTGGGACTGGCGCCTCGAAATTGACAGTTCATACTTTCGATCTATCATCTGAAATCATTGACAGCTACACAATAGTGCATAGTTTTCCACTAATCATCAATGACAATTACAGAAGCAGTTCCGTAGTGCACAAGACATTTATGGGGAGCGCCCGAGTAGTGTGCTGGAAAATATCATTGCATTAGAACGTACATTTGTTTGGCATCAGAGTTAACGAAAAATCCGCGTAACAGCTAGAGTCAAGTAGACATATTGACACTTATATGCATCGACCACGTTCTTATAGTTACGAGGATAAAAATGAAACAAAGAGATATGCACAAAAAGCAATATAACATGATTAAAGATTGATTGTAACTTATCTTTATTCAGGTTTCAAGGGCGCGTTCAATATTGACCGCAAAACTTAATTCATTTCTAACAGAGGTAGTGAAATTGCTAGAACGCGCTGATGCTCTTAGCTCTAGGTTCTCTATTCAAATAAGGCATCGCATCTCTAGGTTCTCTATTCAAATAAGGCATCGCATCTCTAGGTTCTCTATTCAAATAAGGCTTCGCGTCTCTAGGTTCTCTATTCAAATAAGGCATCGCGTCTCTAGGTTCTCTATTCAAATAAGGCTTCGTATCTCTAGGTTCTCTATTCGAATAAGGCGTCGTACATTCGTCATGTATTCTGCGAGAATTCTGATATTGAGTACGGAAGTCTTGAGATAACATGAAAACAAGTAACACAATATTTTCTAAATAAATAGGTATTATTGTCTATGTTGAAATTGTCAATATAAATGTTTAAGCTTCAACTGACAATTTGAAAAGATGATAAGAGAAGTGTGATAAGAGAAGGATACTATGATCCTGGAATTTATTATCGCTCGACAAACGATAAATTTTTAAACGATCTTGTTCTGAAATATGCGTGTAGCATCACTGTTTCCGGGATACAATCTCGTGAATCGCTGATAATTTTAAATGCCATTATTCATAATATGTTGCTGATCCGACACGTATTGTTATGATTTATTTGAGTCAACATTACCGTTATTTGCACTATTGCTGTTTCTCAGGTTTATTCCCCTAGTTATGAGTAATCGACATAACTTAATGATATTATTACATTACGACATATGATTAATGATGTTGTCAGTCTATTCCATGTTACATCATAACCAGGCCCCATCACTGCATACCTGCATCTGTCTAATTTTTATTCCGGATATTCATTTCAAAAAGCGCGCAATATCGAGGAAACTTATTTCTACGACAACATGCGACTACATATTTTCAAAATAAAAATTTGAATTAATTCTACCTAGGTTGCATTACTCGCTCAGTAATCACAGGCCAAACTTGTCGATTTAATGACTTTATGACAATTTTGCCATCTGATTCATTAATTCATGAACAGAGAACTAACCTTCATGACTGACTATTCTAAGAAGTACGCTTTTCTGACTTCTTTCTCATCCATGGGTGTCGATGACAGACTCCCGTGACATGTAACACTGGCCGGTCTCTAATAATTCCCGTGACAAATACCAGGGGCCGGTCTCTAATAATTCCCGTGACATATAGCACTGGCCGGTCTCCAATAATTCCCGTGACATATAGCACTGGCCGGTCTCCAATAATTCCCGTGACATATAGCACTGACCGGTCTCCAATAATTCCCGTGACATATAGCACTGGCCGGTCTCCACCGTGACATATAGCACTGACCGGTCTCTAATAATTCCCGTGACAAAAGCAGGGGCCGGTCCCGAATAATTCCCGTGATACATATATAGCACTGGCCGGTCTCCAATAATTCCCGTGACATATAGCACTGGCCCGTCTCGAATAATCCATCAAAATAAATTGCCGAGGGAAAGAAGCGACTTCATCAACGCACAAAGAAATAGGTCAGTCTGCACTCGTAATCATTCCGACGGAAACTTTAAACCAGAAGCATTCCTTGAATGCTTGAATGAGAGCTTGAACTGGAAGTCGTGCGATGCAAGAGCCGCATCAAACCATTCGACATAATGACAAAATCGCCCAGAAAAAACACGGATCGCTAGCTTAAAGTCATACCCAACGAATTACAACCTATAATAGAAATCTGACGTGACTTCGGTTAAACCAACACTTAAATTCACAAAAAAAATCTAACCTGGTCTCGGGATGGAGTGTTCCCAGGCGCAGGAGTCCCCCCTGGGGCAGGCGCGCCCCGAGCGGTAGAAGCGACAGAGGCGCTCGTCATCGTCGTTGACGACGCCCATGGCGGCGACCTCGAGGCCGTCCTCTCGGTAGCGCGGGTGGTTCGTGGCGCTGCTGAAGGCGGCCTGCATCGGGTCCCAGGTGTGCTGCACGAACACCTTGTGTTGACTGCACCGTCATCGTCATATATATACAGGCTTAGTTACTTGATGTTAACGATGACTGCAGTACCAATACTTAGTTACTTGATGTTAACGATGACTGCAGTACCAATACTTAAGTTACTTGATGTTCTTAGTTACTTGATGTTAACGATGACTGCAGTACCAATGCTTAGTTACTTGATGTTAACGATGAACGCAGTACCAATACTTAGTTACTTGATCTTAGCAATGATTGTCGTGTTGATCGATTATTGCATACATAATACAAATGGTGCCAGCGATGTTAATTTCATGATTACTTCTTAATGATAGCCTTATTTGAGATAATGTCACGTCACAAAGAGAGACGCAAACGTACCTACCAGCGAAACGTGCATTGAAAAATTACTTACAGGGGTTGCATAATATGGTCATGGTCCATGCCATGCCTCAGTACGTTCAGTTTTTTGAAGACTAAATAATTAAGTATTAAATCACCCGATTAAGGCTTCAGATAAAATCTAAACATCACATTACGCACAATAAGCGGCTTTTATTATACCTGCAGCTCAGCAGCCTTTAGCTCGTGTGAATTTGCCGTGCCGACGTTCTGAGTGGTGCTACACGCGAGCGAAACTGCGGACAGATATAATCATTAAAAATAAATTATACAATACGAAAATCATCTTAAAATTAAACATTACTGTCATGAAATACAAGAAAAACTATTAAACAAACAAATGTCTATCCAACAACAATTCTCTGAATATTTTTCTTCATAGAATTGGAATTACCAGCATAACTGTTCACAACGATAAAATGTTTCAAATCAATAACAAAAATCACTAGAAAATTAGGCAAGCTATTAAGTTCTCTAACTATCAATGTAAAAAAAAAACAATGCAGCAAATCTACTACTCTGTCTCAAATTATCGCTATTTTGCGCCGAACGAAACGCGTTTTATATAAAATTCCTAATATATCTGCATTGTTGTATGCTGATAATATATACAATAATATATATCTGCATATATATCATAATATATCTATAAGACAAGTAAGCTGACCGAGCTGAGCGAGATCCTGGGGCAGGTTCTGTAGGCGACGAGACTGCGCGAGGCCTCTGGCGACGAGCTCCTCGTTGACGATCACGTCGTCGCACGTCTCCAGCAGCACGTCGTGCCGGCCATCACTGCCACAACTGCAACTAACTGCAGTTAATCTCCTGCAACTAACTGTAGTTAATCTCCTGCAACTAACTGCAGTTAATATCCTGCAGCTAACTGCAGTTAATCTCCTGCAACTAACTGCAGTTAATCTCCTGCAACAATAATCGATTCATTATCGTGACCGTCTCAAATAGGAAACAATCATTAATATATATGAAAAAAATCGTAATTTTTCATCATCCCTAATCGCCATTACAGAGAGAGAAGGAATAATTATACCATTTAGGAGTACCGGTACGTATAAACCGTACATAGACACGAGTAATTGTATGTGTACAATACAGAGCCCAGACAATGGGCACAAATATAAAAGACTGAGGGCACGTGATATGACAAACATACAATACGAGCAATTATACGTGACTGAAGAGAGACATGCAGCACGTGTGCGTGTACAGGCCAGCAGGCACAGCAGCGCAGTGAGAGAGAAACATGCATGAATGTGAAGGACAAAACTATTAGATGTTCAGCACGAGGAANAGAGACATACAACTGGACAATACAGAGACATACAACTGGACAATACAGAGACATACAAGACAATACAGAGACATACAACAGGACAATACAGAGACATCCAACAGGACAATACAGAGACATAGAGCAGGACAATACTGAGACATCCAACAAGACAACACAGAGACATATAAGAGAGCAGTGCAGAGACATTCAACACGAACAAGTGAACAAGACAACACAGAGACACATAAGAGAACAGTACAGAGACATTCAACACAAACAAGTGAACAAGACAACACAGAGACATCAACAGAACAATACAGAGACATTCAACACGGATAAGTGAACAAGAACAACAGACACATAAGAGAGCAGTACAGAGATACAGACGCTGCAGTGTTGCGCGGCACGAGGTATGCGGTGTGAGCGTCAGGTCGCGCGCACAGCTCCTGCATGGCACGACAGCTCGCCTCGGACCAGCCGCTGAACTCGTCACTCGGGGCAGGATATACCTGACAATAACGCCATACATTAGAGCAATACAAACGCATATAAAGCAAACATAGATGATAACAGAAAAGCTTGGATAACACGTGTAAGTGATGGCAGGATACACATTCTAATAAAGCCCAAACTAGAGAAACGCAATTCCATACACGCAAATGAAGTTGGAACCACGTTGTTTGCAAGTCGAGTTTATTGAAACATTATTTACGTAATCTGTGTTATTTCAAGTCAGATCACTGGCGGTAAGCATATAAATGCATACATAAAGGCTTGCGTATGCCCGTACAAGTGATGTATATCTATCTACATTTGAACATGACTTTTAAGAAATGCGAGTTGGGGAGATTATACCCTTTCGTTACTCGAACGTAACACATCACTTATAAGATTTTTTCACCATCATTTTCGCTGAGTGTGAAAAGGGAGCTGGAACATCTGAATAGGAAGCGCTGTGGAAACAATACACCCAAAGAAACCAGCTACAAAATGTTACCCAATCTTAATTAAGATCATGTGAGCGTGGGAACGAACCAATTTCATGTCCCAAAAGGCAAATACCAGCAAGTGATAACTTTTAGGGGCCAGGGGCCATACTTTCAAAAATCGCTAAGTGAACATTAAAACTTACGCTTTATTTTCCTGTCCACGATTGGTGGATTTTGCTTAAAAGACCGTCAATGATCGGTTCATGCACATACGATCTCTAATTTTTTTTTTTTTAAATAGGCCCAGGACATTGCAAACTGCGGAGGGCATAAATTCATATTTGAGGCAATGTATAACATGTAAAGTCTAAAGAATTGCCAACTATAAGATCTAACTCCAGTAAATAACGTATATGTAAAGTCTACAGAATTACTAACTATAAGATCTAACTCCAGTAAATAACGTATATGTAAAGTCTACAGAATTACTAACTAAATAATCAAATGCCAGTAACTAATTAATATTCTTACGGCAGCGAGGGCGCAGTGTATGGCAAAGGGCGGCCAGCGTGCCAAGTCCTGGTGCAAGACGCGCACCAGCGACAGCGGCACCTCCACACAGCGGCCGTGGTCCACCAAGAGGAACTTCAGTTTATCTTCTCCGTTGTTCTCATCCTGACCAACGTACATGTTACTAACTGCTTTTGACATTACTGCCACTGGCTGATATAAACTACCTAGTTATAATTAAACCTCGTATTCAGGCCTCTGAAGCACATTCCAAACAAAACGAATTCGATTTGCAAAAATAAAATCTTGAGTTTCTTTTACCAATAATATATTTCAAACACGTTTTCTAGCAAACATCCATTTAGAAGGAATAAATCACTACATATAACAAGCTAGCGCAGCTAACATTCGAACACACATACCTGGCTGTTGGTCAGAGAGTTGGACATAAAGCGTGCGCGACTCCAGCACTCCAGGTCCTGGTCATACACCGCCCAGTGCGAACATGGGCGCAAATCTCCAGCTTGCAGGGCCTTGTACGTGACTTCCCGGTAGTGGGAGTCAACCTCATCGAGGCACCTTGGAGAACACATTCATTATAAGGTACAACTCAAAAATGTATAAAGAGTTCATCTCATCATGACATTGCTTACTTGTGATCGTAAAACAAATATTATATAAATATATTATATATTACTCGTTCAGGTAAGATGTCTGCATAAGAATTATTGATACAACTTAATAGACATACCGTAGAATGTCAACTTATTACTTGCCCAGAAATTGAGTTAATTTTCAAATAAAAATACTGTTACTGATATCACAGTACAATAACCAATCCTAAAAATATTACAACTGATCATATAAATAAAAAAATTATACGGTACTCCAGTTATTTGGATAGGAAATTAATAACCCCCAAAAATGTGCCTAGTTACTTGCAAGTGAACATGTATTGTCAATTTTATTTCAATGAAAACATGACCATATGCATAGTCAACCACAATGGAGTTGACATGTTCATTCAGTTTGCAGATAAACTTGGCCTTTGCACAAGAAGGATTACAGACTACAATATCTAAGGCATGTGTATGTGATCAAGATGAACAATTTGCACCGACTTCACGTTATCTTTTTAGCATGCAAGGAAATGATAACTTGAAGTCGTACAAAAAGTCCCACCACGTCCCCAGGCTTATGCTTGAGGCAATTCCATGATGCCTTTTATTGCATAAATAAATTAATGAACAGTTTTGGCTCAGATACGAAATATTTGCACTATTCAATTTTTAAAAGTTGGCAGTACCAATATTTATCAAATTAATAACAGGAACTTGATGATGTAGACTGTGATTGAAGTTAGACAGGTCTCCTTTACATATTCATGTCTGAATTTAAATAATATGAAATTTTCAAAATCTGGTAGTGACCATAGGTACCTACTTGAAAAATTCTTCAACTGCAATTTACCCCTTTAATAAATAAAATTGTAAAAAATGCAGAGAATTTGTCATAATTTCAGGACTTCAGAAATTTTGAATTGCTGCACATTTCTATTGCTGCCAGCTAACAGGTTAGAGCTATCAAATATAACAAGGAGAACTTAGGAAAAATATACGTAATCAATGCTATAAAATCTCCCAACCGAAAATATAGACAAGTAAGTAAAAGTTAGAGAAAACAATATCACTTCTCACCTGGCCATTTCATCACCGTATTCAAGAGTAGCAACGATAACATAAAAATCTGATGGGTCTGTGAAGCTCAGCAGCAGCACCGGGATGGGAGCTCCCTCATGCGTGGGCAGCTTCAGTTCAGGCAATTTTATGCAGGGAAGTTCTCCCTCACATGTGTCTGTAGAGCATCAATCATTATAAGCAGGCAAACATCTGCTATGAACATATCTGATATACGTGTTCATCAGAGAAAGATTTCTTAAGAGAAATGAGAAAACATTGGCATTAAAAATTACAAAAAAAAAATTACAAGCAAACAATGCATAATAATACTGATGAAGTAACTTGCATTGAACTCAAATCTTTTCATTCTAGTATAGAGAATGAAAGTCTACCTATATTTAAATACCTACATTGATTAACACAAAGGGTCAATGGTAAATCACTGTCCTGGTAAATCTGTATCAACAATATTTATAGGCAACACAGCAACAACTTTTGAGCGCTTCAATTTTATAATGATCAAAATTTTGTATGAGTTTAAAGCAACAGAAGAATACCAGAGAGATTGTTTATAAGGAGCTAAAAGTGACAGAAGAAAAATATATATTAAATGCTGGAAGGATACTAATTGAAAATAGAAACTAATCATTATGATTGGGCCATTAAAACTTAAAGTGCTCACCAGCAGGAGTTTCTTCAACAGATGCTAGGGTAATATGTTCTGGTCCAAATGTTCTTGTGCAAGGTTGTTCTTCAGGAGCATCAATGGGTGAGAGCAGCTGACAAAGCTCCTCATGGAAACTCTTCATTGATGTATCTACATGCAGCGTTCTGTTGAATCTTGGACTAGACAAATCCAAGCTCACCTCTTCAGTGTGATTGGTATCTAACCACTTTAGAATATCCTGTGACTTATTCCTAGATAATATAGGATGATCAACCATGGTGTTGTTACCAGAAGTATGATGTAAGATTTGTGTCTTCTCTTTGCCATTGGTAGCAGACTCGTCATCTTCAATTAATGGACGAAATGGGTCTGCATCTGTCAGTTGCTGTACCGGGGTGCTGCACCTTGGTTCTTCCTCCAATAGCAAATTATCCTGCATTCCATCACAAGGTTCAACTTCATTCTTTATAGTACAATCAATGGTTGTGTACCTGTTGGTGCTTTTGAAGCTTTCAATAGTTTTTTCTTTCACATCCAAGATGTCATCATCCTGAAACTGGCAGTTATTGTCCACATTATTTTCTGTCAGCTTCAGATCCTGCTTTCCAACACCAGCACTTAAACCTAACTGGGAACCGTCCATGACTTCACGGTTTCTTTCTTTGTTGACTTCAAAGGTTTCTTTCTTTGTTGAACCTGATTTATTATTTTCTACTTCATGGTGAATCTCAGTGACTGTCACATTACCAGAGCGCTCATTCTCTTGCTTCAATTCCTCCACTTCTGAAATATTTTCATGACCAGGATTTCTCAAGAAAGTATCAAATTTCTGTTGAAATATTTCAATACCATACAGGCCTGATTTCACTGGGTGTACACATATCTCGCCATCACATTGAACATCAGAATTCATCGAGTTTGTAAATGACTGATAGTAAGGAGCAACAGGTAAGGTAGAATTTTGCTCCAAATGACCATAGTCAACCTTATGGGCAGAATCATAAAGCATTCTCTCACTGTGCAATGGTCCTTCTATTCCTCCATGTGCTTCTGGCAACATATGCAAGCTGGAGCAACTTTGATTATATTGATGATCACTCTGACCAAAGCAACTATGCAGAGCAACATTTTGGCATTGGAAATCTCTAGCATGGTGCGTAGTAGCCTGCATGTCTACAGGACTCAGCTGGGCACTGCCTAAACAAGGACACAGAACAAGCGGCTGCAGCAGATGCAACTGAAGCGGGTATTTGGGATACTGAAGTGAACTAATGCTTGGCATTTCCCATACATGTGGCATTTCCCATATGCGTGGCATTTCCCATATGCGTGGCATTTCCCATATGCGTGGCATTTCCCATATGCGTGGCATTTCCCATATGCGTGGCATTTCCCATATGCGTGGCATTTCCCATACATGTGGCATTTCCCATATGCGTGGCATTTCCCATACGCTTGGCATTTCTGATACACTTGGCATTTCTGATACACTTGGCATTTCTGATACACTTGGCACTTCTGATACACTTGGCATTTCTGATACACTTGGCACTTCTGATACACTTGGCACTTCTGATACACTTGGCATTTCTGATACACTTGGCATTTCTGATACACTTGGCATCTCTGATACACTTGGCATCTCTGATACACTTGGCATCTCTGATACACTTGGCATCTCTGATACACTTGGCATCTCTGATACACTTGGCATCTCTGATACACTTGGCATCTCTGATACACTTGGCATCTCTGATACACTTGGCATCTCTGATACACTTGGCATCTCTGATACACTTGGCATCTCTGATACACTTGGCATCTCTGATACACTTGGCATCTCTGATACACTTGGCATCTCTGATACACTTGGCATCTCTGATACACTTGGCATCTCTGATACACTTGGCATCTCTGATACACTTGGCATCTCTGATACACTTGGCATCTCTGATACACTTGGCATCTCTGATACACTTGGCATCTCTGATACACTTGGCATCTCTGATACACTTGGCATCTCTGATACACTTGGCATCTCTGATACACTTGGCATCTCTGATACACTTGGCATCTCTGATACACTTGGCATCTCTGATACACTTGGCATCTCTGATACACTTGGCATCTCTGATACACTTGGCATCTCTGATACACTTGGCATCTCTGATACACTTGGCATCTCTGATACACTTGGCATCTCTGATACACTTGGCATCTCTGATACACTTGGCATCTCTGATACACTTGGCATCTCTGATACACTTGGCATCTCTGATACACTTGGCATCTCTGATACACTTGGCATCTCTGATACACTTGGCATCGCTGATACACTTGGCATCGCTGATACACATGGCATCTCTGATACACTTGGCATCTCTGATACACTAGGTTTTTCAGATACACTTGGTATTTTTGATGCACTTGGCAGCCCTGATGCACTTTGCAGTTCTGATGCACTCTGCAGTTCTGACATGCTTGGTATTTCTGTTACCCTTGGCATTTCATCACAATTTATGTTCAGAACACATTCTTCCGGGACTAATATCTGTACAGACGCTGCTGGCATTGGTTTCAATGATTCTGGTAAAATGGAGCAAGTTCCTAAACATGAGCTGGAAATTTCGGTTCTTTCTCCATACCAGCTGTGTAAATTACTATCAATCTCTTGAGCAATCTCTGTCAGGACTTGTGACCTTTGTAACATTTCTGACTTAAAATCTAAGCCAATCTGCTCTATATTCTCATTTAAATTTTGACTTGTCAAATCAGAATCATCCAGGTTACTGATGAATGAATTTAGAGGCATGCAAGGCCTATCAGCTGCCCCAGTCTGGCTCAGGGGGCAAAAAATTTCATCAACAAACCCTGTGCTGCTGGCCATAATCTTTACTTCTTCAGGCTCTTGAAAAGAATTTTTCATATTTTCATAAGAATGAAAATGATCACTGGAGGGATCTTCTGGAATAACTATCACAGTTTCCAGTTTGATTGTTGACTTTGAATTCATCTTCTTAATTTAGAAACCTTGGATACAATTAAAAAAAGACATTAATAAAGTTAACAATATCTAGATAAGAACAAATATGGGAGCAAAATTGCATCATAGAAACATATGAAGAGACTCAGCAGCAATAAAATCTGAAACTTTCATAGTGTTATGCCATACTCAATAAATTTGAGCAAAATTTACTGGGTGATGATGAATTCTTCCTAAACAGGGACACTCAATAAGAGTTATAAACAAATATACATGGAATTTCCAGTAGCTATCACAGCCCATGGCATAGTGTCAAAGCAGAGACTTTTATAGACTCTTCCTCAATTTTGTTTCTGAGTCAAAGAAGTAGACCAGTAGAGTATCATGAACACCAACATCATCATACAAGTACACAAGTTATTGGTTTAAATCTTGAGTAAGTAAGGAAATTAAAAATGAACTGATTCTATGGCCCAGGGCAAAAAAAAATAAAATATTTTGATCGCATATTCTACCTCACATACTACCCAACACACCAATGTATCAACAATGATCTAGCTTGGTTATAAATAAAACAGAACACCAAAATAATAATTATATAATTATTTGGAAAGATCTTGAGTGTAAATCCAATTGTTATACATGTGCAATTGTTACATATTATTACTTATTGAATATGCAAAATACAAATAACCATCATTCTGGGATAGGTGTATATTATATTTGAAGGTTCAACCTCATGAGAATGAACCTACACACCACCATGCAAGGTAAGGGCTGTTGTCTGCTACTTTGAGTTACCTATCAACTGAAAAAAAATATAACTCAGTACTCACTGCAGTGAGTGAGAGAGAGAGCGCATTTTCTCGTCGATGAAAACTTGAAGTCATGGACAGACAGACATGGCAAGCACATTAGTGCATTTTTTCCATAAATGAGAAAATGGGCTAAAAAGGCACATCATAAGGTAGTATTTGGGACATGAAGCATATATATGTTCAGGAGCAAATTGAAATTGTTGCTGCCTATTCCAAGCATTCTATTATATCTATTGCCTAATGGTCATTACATGAAAAATGTTAAAAAAATAATTCATTTTATATCAAAAATTACTTCAATATACCCATTTGAATCAAATTCATGCATTGATCCAGGCAGGCCAAACTGAAAGTGGACCGAATTGTCAATGCACCTGGACCACTTTACTGATGTCTTTGGCTTTCAGGATTTCATGTTCTCCCCTCTCAAAAATTCCCTCACAATAGTTTATCAAAAAATTGCAAGACTTCAGGATTGGCAGCTACCCTAGAGAGTTAAATTGTAAGGGAAATATGTGAACTGGTGCTGGTCCTACTAAACAAAATTCCTAGTTTAATAGCCATAAATAAAATCTTCATCAACATTTTCAATATCAACATTTCTTTCCCATCATGGTTGTTGAGGACAAGATGTTGATGGACCGAAAATAGAAATTAAGCAAAAGTCACACACCGTGCAGAAAGGATTTCTAGGAATGAAGGTTAATATACTCAATGGCGACACAGCTGGGCCCAAAACTAGAAAATATGAAGCTGCTTTTTACTGAAATATTGTGGCAGAAAATTAAGGTAACCAAGGAATTTGTAACTTTGTAACTTGTAAGTTACAAAACTTAAATACCTACTTTGATTTCATAAAAACAATTGAACTAAAATTTTCTTTGTCTTTATAAATTCAAACTGCTAACTCATAGCAGTGAAACTCTGATTTGACTTAACAAAAATGTAATGACCATCATGAAATAGCAATTGAAATTGCCTCAAAAAATTGTGTTCTTATGGTAAACTTCAAACAAATGATTCGTCAATCAACATATAACCCATGGCTTGGCAAATAAGTTTGCAACTTGAAAATTGTTTTCAAGAACTTGAAAAATGAAATCATGACTCAAAAAAATTTGAAGGGAACTCACAGGCCATAAGCCCCCTCAAGTCTTGAGGCTTGTGAGAGTGAGACCACAGCTTGGTCGTTTTTTCTATTATCAATTTTTCATTATAAAAATTAGATGAACCTAAAATTGTAAACATCATGATCCTATCACCCTATCAGGTCAATCTGAAATATCAGGCTGAACTTTCCAAGAATGACTAGTGAAACAATACTTGCATTGGCATAGGGGATTTTATAATATATGGGAAAAAATGTGCTATTTTTCTTATTATTTTTAAAGAAAATAAAGCAAGGCCTTTGGAAAAGAGCAAATTTTGTGCATACATGGCTGGCAATCAGCCTTACATAGATATTTTGGTCTTGTTGAAACTTGTTCAGGAGTGCCTTTGGCCCAACTTTCTAGTATGGCCTGTCAAAGCTCAGAGAGAGAGAGAGACTCTAGAGTAGGCATTTTCCTCAATCCTCAGACCTCACTTGCATTTGTTTTTATCTAGGTATATCCCATGTTTTGTTGTTCAATTCTGAAGTACCTGCTAAGTTAGGCTGAGGCAACGTATGGTTATGATTATGGTAAGCTGTATGGTAGATACAGCCTTTAGGTCTTCAGAAGTTCAGAACTGAAGTTTTTGTCAAACATTATAGGTTGCGTGCATTGGTTCATTTATTACTTCTTGTTGCCAAATGTTGGTCACCTTTTTTTATAAAATTCTTGCTTATTTATAGAAAAAAGCCCAGTCAAGCTAATACAGGATAAAAATCATGTCTTTGATCATTGATTAGTTTATTGATTACTATCTATTATCTATAACTGCCTACATAGTGTACAATGCACATTTGTACATAGTACATACTACATCATAACAACCAATATATACTATACAGGTAAGTGAGGTAACATACTATGGATGCTATTGCCAGTATTGGTGCCAAATTGGAAAATCAAGCTATAAATCAAGCAGAAGCTACAGTTAGTACCCACCTCATTATAATACCCATCAATCCATCATAACCTATGAACATGAAAGAGAAAAAAATACACTAAATTGTAGACTATTTCATATTTTCATCCAGCCATTGTTGTAGTCTGGTAACAGCTTTCCCAATTTCTTTGGTAAAAAAATAACAAAAATGGCACATCAACATGGTAGTCTACAACTTTTGAAAATTGCCTGTGAAAAGATTATTTTCACCCATGACCATTGATTTTGGGAAAGTCTGTCTGATTACTCTGATAGGGAAATTTTGGATTGGTATTGTTGGCTACAGGCTAAGGTGGAAAATGAGCATTAATTTAACCAAAACATAAATAAATAAAAATAAATAAGAACTATTCAAGAAATATTTTACAAAATACACAACTTACAATCTTACATGAATGCTGAAAAATTATACTGAAATTCATAATCGCAAACCAGATATTTCTTAGGTACTTCTGAGAATTAGATTACCTATTTGCAATTCTCTCATATACTCAAAATTTAAACCAATATCTCATGTATGATAATGCTGGACAGCTGGAATTGGTGTCCGTGATACTCTGCTGCTGCCTGCTCTACTCATAACATCCTTCATTATTTGTCTTCAGTTCATACCTACCTAAGATGATAAGACTCATGATAAGAGACAAGACTCCATATTGAACTTGAGAAGTTGAGGAAGTCTAAAAAAGTCTTGAACTTGAGGAAGTCTCTACTTTAGGGTTTTGCCAGTTGGCAGTTGCCACTCTGGCAGCAGGCCAGTGGCTCATAGCTGGCTCTCCCACTTGGGTTGGACCCACTGGGCACTGGCCACTGTGGCCAGTGGCCACTGCCACTAGCTATGCAGAAATTGGGCATGTCATTCATAATTAGTGTCAATGAAATGAATGGATCTATGAATGTAAGAACTGATAAAAAAATTAATTAATTGCTTCATTCACAATCTGACCTCCTTAAAGTGTTAACTGTTAAATAGCTAACTACCTATAGGTCCTATACTATTATAGAATATAGATTATGGAACTAGAATTAAGCTTAATTTATGCCCCTATTATTTCTCAGCATTTCATAGTAAATTCAGGTAGTCCATAGTGGCAGTGCTTTGTTTGAAATTTGTTATTTATTTGCTATATGGCAATTGTGCATTGTAAATATGTAGTTTACGCAGATGAATGTCCGGGCCTCAGTCCGGCTAATGCCATGGTACCTAATTCAATTGTTCGCTGGAAGCCTCGAAGTCGAATGGCTCCATACCATTCCACATAGCATGATACATCATACATGCAAATGCAATGAATGACAGTTATGACTTATGAACTTATGACACGTCATAGTACATACATCGATGATCGACACGTTCTGACTTTCATGTATATGGCTCCGAAAGAGTTCGCGTACCGAAGTAAATCCTGCAAAGGACGTTCATTACCTGACTGCACTTCTGCACACTGGTCACTCGCTGGTGAAAAAAAGTGGTGATGAACGACACGTAGGCTACCACAGTTTGGGCCCACCGGCTAACGGCTACGGTGTCTAAACATAGTGAACAAACAACCTAATTGCCACTTTGGATAAAACTTGTGGCGACAAATGCGCCTACCAGCCTGATCTCTGTCAGAAATAGAAAACAAAGCAGCAGACTGAGAGTCTGAGACTCGGAGCTCTGCTAGATTTGGTTAAAACTGTTGTGCATTTGCAATTTTTGTATACGATTAAACGCCAGTTCTGGAGGGTGGGTGAGTGTTTCCAAAGACGCATTGTAGCGAAATATTCCGTGAACCTAAAAAATTAGTTTATCGATGGTATCAGGAAGAATTGAAACGGTGAATGATGTTTTCATGAAAATTGTTATTTTTTTCTTTGCAGACACATTCGTTCAGAACATCTCAAAATTAAAATTTTCTACAATTTTCTACGCACCTCATTGATGTAACGCACCTCATTGATGTAACGCACCTCATTGATGTAAAGCACCTCATTGATGTAACGCACCTCATGTGACGTAACGCACCTCATTGATGTAACGCATCTCATGTGATGTTATGCACCTCATTGATGTAACGCACCTCATTGATGTAACTCACCTCATTTGATGTAACGCACCTCATTGATGTAACGCACCTCATTGATGTAACGCACCTCATGTGATGTAACCCACCTCATTGATGTAACGAACCTCATTGGTGTAACGCACCTCATGTGATGTAACGCACCTCAACTTTTTAAAATGAATCTATTGAATTTTGTACAACTCTTCATCACTCTCATTGTGTGAAATTAATAATTAAAATATCACAAATTAACGGCCTGGTGCAACAGTGCTATTGAATGCCTCATTCGCCCTCGTATGGAGGATGCATACATAGGCGTCAACTGAAATAAATTCAGCTGCTTGTGACGATTTGAAAATTATTTGCTATAACATGTATTATTAAGAATGAAGGACGATGCAGATATGTTCAGATTTTTTAAAGACTTAGTTGTATTAGGAATAGGAACGTTGGTATTTTTTTCATAATATTATGTAACATGAAGGTTTCGTATCAACCAAACATAAACTATGAATCGAACTTACTTCAGTCATATCTACATTACTCTCATATTCATCAAAATAAAGTGTTTTATTTTGTGGCAAAATTTGTAGTGTCTATCAATAACTATTTACTGTTTTTTCGTTTTACTATATGTTTTTCTATGTTCTATATTTTTCTAAGTGTATATGCATATTGGGTCGAGTTATATGCACGTATCTTATAGGAGGGTTGAGGGGTTAGTCAGTTTTGCGACCTCTGTGTTATTAATTCATGGATAATCGGCAGTAATGTGTTAATATTTCAAACAAGTTTCAAATCCCGGATTATAAAATTAATGTAGATTAATAGTCGTTTGATCTTCTTCTCAAACCGAAGCCACAGAGCTCACGTCACCTGCTAATTTTATTAAGGTTTCTAAATTTCCAAATACTTTGTGTCATGTATATTTTCGAATATATATCATTTAGGAATATTATAAACTGAATTTGCATACAAATAGATCTATGTTTAAGGCGTTGAGATCCTATAACGTTTCTCGCCATATATATGCTCTGATCTGTGCCGAACAAAAAACATAAGGAAGGAATCAGGTACTTTTGACCACTACACTGAAACACAGTCCTACAACTAATTATCAAACAAAATCCCTTGTAAATAACATATTCAATCATTTTTTTCATCTTGATCATCATACTGTTCGTGATTATATTTAAGCTCGCGCAGTGCAGCGGCCATGCGCCGCACAGACGCGTGAAGCCGATGATTGGTGGAATTGCAGCATGTAGGAAACCTAACCAATATATAGAAATTGCGACGTGCTTTTAACTGTCTACTAGCAGCCGCACGAACTGTGGTGCACTTAATTGTTAGACGAATTACTATATTTCCACTGTTGCAATATTATAAAAAAAAAGTTAGCACTAATTCGGTCTCTATTCTAAAATTTACCAGCTCCATTGATTGAATATTAACTGACGTGGAAGCTTCTTGTGGTCAGATCGGTGCCGTCCACACCTGCACTCAATTTGGCCCTCCCCAGTCTATCACAACAACAACATAACATAACATAGCGATGTCGGCGCTGAAGAGTAGGCCTGATGTGGCCTGTCGCCAATTCTTACTTTTCGTGACTTGTTCACAGAAGATCTAAAATCGTGTCATTTGACCGGATCTTTTCAGGACTGACAATAGTTTGAAATAGCTACTAGACTTCCACCGGGTTCGATTGAAATAGCTACTAGATTTACACCGGGTTCGATATGGTGCTAGGCATTTAAAGTCTGACCACTCGCAACTGCTGCATGGTTTCTACGATAGATAAATTTGACTTAGAAACCTCCTCTCTCTTAGTGCAGGTTACTGATTTATTTAATCAGAAAACCCTAGCCATGCGACATATAATCCGTAAATGTGGCACTGCATGAATCTAGTTGAGAATACCTCAAATCAGAATTTATTTGCACGAGTATGAATAGCACAGTGATAGGTGATCATTAAAAAGAACATATGAGAACATTTAGGAACGAAAATGTATATATTATCCCTCCAGTCGTTAGTTCAACCTGGGGTATTCAAACCCTAACCTCTCGGCTTATGGAAAAGCGAATTTCATCTTTTTTTCAATTACATACAATCATATGAATTTGGCTGATTCTAGACTACTCGAAGCAGATATTCGGAGTAAAATGTAATCAAAATAGTGGCTTATTTCACTAACACTATGATGAAAATATATTTACTTCAATAAAAAAATCTGAGTTAGACTAACTTTTATTTCAACGATTAAAAAGTGGCCGCTCAAGCTCTACCATGAAAATGTATTCCTCATTTTTCGTCTTCATATACCGAGGTTAATTTAAGGTAACATTTTTTATGAAATGGGATTTCTAAAAAACATGTTATAAATTCGTTGAAATAAATCATTATCTTTTACTACTTCTTCAGTCTCAACAGAATCTCCGACCGCCATTCATTATTTAAAAATCAGCATTTGACATTGCGCCAACATGCAAATACGCTATAAAAACATTTCTTAAAATATTAAAATTTCACTAACATCTAATTGTGGGAAACATTGAAAATGTAGGCACTTTATACGGTGAGAATATAATATATATAGTTACCTTTTCAGATAAATATGTTTCTATATATAAATAGTATTTTCCTTTTCACTTCAACATTCCATTTCCTCAAATTCGTGCTCGACGCAGAACAAGTTCAATCCTTGCGTAACAAGGTGCACAATTTCGTTACTTTTGTTCCATATAAATTTTTCTGAAAAACTGTGACATGACTGGAGGAGCGTTCCCTATTTACTTATAAACTTGAAATAAGATTTGATTCACTTCATCGCTGCGACAAATTAACTATAAAATGCAATAAATTAATTTCGACAATTCAACGAAAAAATGCATAAGATTAATTATCGATAAATCGTAGGAGTGTACGGCAATTATAAGATTGATGCAACTCTTCTTATTGCATTAGAAATAATTAGACTAACCAGGAAACCACCTTATATACTTGGGCTCAAAACATTCTACGTTTCAAGTTCCATCAACATATGTACAGCAATAGCAATTAGACATCAGTAAACGGTAGTCTTGTGATAGCGAGGTGCGTTGGACTCATATAACCTTATTTTCAACAATCAGTCTTGTACATTAAAATATATAAATTATTTTAGCTGATAATAACACACATAGGTAGGTTAAACTAGACGTGCTGTAGCGCCATATTCATATTAGATGTGGATATAACCCACTCTTAATTGTCATGTTTATAAGGATTCGTAAGATAGAGCCATCACTCATAAAGATGCATGGGTCAAAATGTGACAAACTTTTTTATCCACAACACGAGCAGAGAGCGGACCTATAACAGCACTGATACGTTCTTTTGTCGTGCCTAACTGGGTGGAGATGATCCATACAAGGTAAAAAGAGCATCGCTGTTGTGACAATAACCCACTCATTTCTGTGAGAGATCCTCTTCTTCAAGCAGGTACGATTCGTGAGCTGGAAGGCTTGTGGTGCTTTATATTTCCTGTCAACTGAAGACCAGTTAATGAAGTTCATTCAACGTATTCTTTCAGCTTGACGTGATGACGTAAATGACTGATAGCCAAACCGCGAAGGGAGAGTGACGCACCCACGACGCGTAGTCCAAGTTTACCGAATTTCCTGAAACATAAAAGAAAATTTATTTCTATTCACGCAGTACGCGATCACGCGCTCAACGATAAAAAAATACAAAGTCATCTAGGTTGCTATGTTCGTGATGTGCACCTCTGACACTATTGATCGTTGCAATGAACTTGTCCCCGTTCGGGAAAGGAATGTTGTCTTTGTTAACACAATAAAATTAAACGGATTTTACATTAGGTATAGATGAAAATTTGTTAACGCGGAGGAATGATTTTGTGGCATTGACAGCACTTTAATTCACACTCATTATATTATATTAAAAAATTTTGTAACATGCAACTGATGGACGTATTCTAGATTCAACCTATTTTGGCACAAATATCACGTACGAAGCATCCGCTTGCATGGTGATGTAAACTTGAACTTGTTTAAAGTATTTATTCCTCAATATAGCATTGCTTTCATGATATCGGTAAAATACTGAACAACTCTAAGCTGCTGTCAAGTGTCGGTGCGACACATGAGAAGTGTGTGTAAGCTTCACTGTTTGCACCAAATGTTGCTATTGGCAACGTCATCTACAAGATGATCGTGATCGATCAGCGAGTGTGTATCGGAAGGTGCCTACCGCGCTTGAGCTTGCCTTTGTTCTGCTAACTTGCATGTGGTACAAGTGAAGCTGTAATTTGATCATTATATATGTACGATGAGGAAGCAAGATGTGGATTAACTGAATAGTAGCTTTAATTTTGTATATGGTACATAGAATGTCAAATGGAAGCAGTATTCATTTTGTAGAGGGCGTGATTTTTCTTTCACCATTAGAAAATTATGAATATATGTAGCTCATTAATATTTTCATAGAGAGGAAAATTTCATGAGTTTCAATCTGCTTCTTCACTCTTTTTCTATGATTAAGTTGTTAACAAATATTGATTACTAGTTTCCAAAGCATATATAATTAAATTCGTTTTCAAACAAAAGGTACCTAATCTGGTCCACGTGATATGATCTATAAGTCTATATCAACCAATTTTTGCAAACGCTAGAAAGGTATGTTCTTAATTTTTTTAATTTATTAAAAAGAATATTTCTCACCCAGGGCGCGAACATGGTGCGTGTTGATGGCAACCACTTGTCTCCTGCTCTCTGTGAGCCACGCGCTCACCCTATTGGTCAGCTCCTCCGTGGTCTCCCACACTCCGCCCCAAACACTACAATCTGAGCAAAATACGTCGAATTTGCAGAAAATTTCCCATAACTTTGGTAATAAAAGTTTGACTTTACTTTTATTGTGCCTATATTAATTACCATTCCTCTCTTCTATTTTAGTCAACAGCGCAATTTCGCTACTTATCGAATTTATTTTTAGGGACCATTTGGCGTCATTTTCACGGTTCACTTGACAGCTGCTCCCTACGACCATGGAAGCTGCTGCCGCAATTGCCCAAATGCTTGTAATATAAATAAACACTCCTCATGCATATAAAAAAACATTCCTCTCACATTTCATTATTACTCCTACCTGCAATTAACGTGATTATTCTTGAAGTATAACCGTATAATAAACCACTATGAAAAGGTCATTGATAGTACATTGGGTATCGGGACTACAAGTATGACATTCATTTTAAAATGACAATCCAAAGTTTGCAGATTTCGTTGCTGGGAGACGTTGAATCATCCTAACACTTAATCCATGTATTATATAGTAACGGATATATCTGTTCACTAACTTTGTTCACGGCTTTATTAGTTTACTTTTTTTTAATTTCACTGATTTTTTTAGAGCAATTGTATACCAATGATATATGATCGGCCTGCGTTTCAGCCACAAGTTAACCACATTATGACTCCTAGAGCGTTGGATATGAAATGCGAGGGAACCGTAGGATTCAATACTATATTCTATCAGCAAAATCGATTGGGATTGAAGATTTCGTGGTGTAGATCTTCAATATAATGCGACCTTTTTGAACATAATAGAATACTGAATACCCGTTCATAGTTCTGAATGGATGTTTCTGAACATAATTGATATTGATGGGAACCTGATAAATTATCAATGATCAATATATAATAGTTTATGCGTAACAATCTCACGTGGTTCAACAAGACGGGGTAGAAATGACGTGCAGGTGAGGCCTTTGTTCCTGACGTTGCAGGCTCCACCACCGCCGTCTACTGAAGGCAGAGCGTTAAGGCAGTCAGTAAAATTATGATAAATTGTCCAACTCGTAATGAATTAATGAGCTCAAGGCTTCTTGAATGAGTTTAGAAGTGATGAGATTATTCCAACGCTTTTTATAAAGTGACCGGTGATTTTAAAGCGAACGGGCGAACACAATGCACAAAAAATTATTTTGCAAAGAGATATGATTACAAGATGTGCCCATGATCAATAGATAGCCCATGATAATTTTCCATTAATATATTGAAAAAGAGAAAATTTAAAGTGATAATTTTTGTTAGGTTGTAATTAAAATATGATCGACAATCTTCTTACAGTAAATCGGAAACTCTGTATTGCGCTACACTTATTTTCTCCATGATTGTGCAATGCACGTCAATGCAACTTAACGCTAAGTGACTTAGTTTCTTTTAATGATCTAGCATATAACCGCCAGGTCTTAGAAACGAAAGGTTCCCGCCGCGCTGAACTGATCAGCCTGCTCACCTTTAGACAAAGACAGATCTTTCCAGGGCTCCTGCGAGATGACATCGAGTTCTTCCCACTGCTGCTCCAGCGACACATCGTCGCGTCCTCCCTCTTCCTCGAGGTCGTCCACGAGGTACACCACGCGCACGAACCTGTAGAACTTGCTGGGCACCAAACCTGGGCTCTCCAGCAGCCACGTCGAGCTCGAACTCGACTGGCCCGCCCGCTGATCAAGGACCTGCATTTGGAGATCGCAGATTTTTTATAGACATTTTTCTATAAATGAATAGTAAGAATCGTGTTTTTAATGCTGCAGGTGAAACCATCAACATTTTTACGTCCATAATCATTCAATACTTTATACATGGATTGCATAGGATCTATCGAAACGGAAGGGGATGTATTAGTACGGTATAAGTGCGCCCATATTATCACATCATGTGTGATGTAGAGGATGAACAGCCTGCGCTTGTATATATATCACCTCGAGGTTGCAGAGTCTCATGGAGGCGTCACAGCTGCACCACGCGAGGGCGCGTGTGATCACTTCAGCTACCGTGTCTTCGTTGGACCTGAGTTAGTCATACATGGTACGTTTCATATCATGGATGACATTGCAATATATCTTGTTTGCATGTAAGTTCTGATTGGAATAACTATCATTTGTGTTTAAGTAATCGATCGAAATTAAGTAATCGATCGAAATTTATATCAATACATAATTTTATTGAATGCGTAAATTATCGGAGAATATTTAGAATCGATCATGTGAATGGAATCCAATTAAAAGTATAAAAATCATACATTTCAAATTAATAAACACATTTTAAGAGACTGAATTCTCCTCTGCAAGCCAAGCTTGAGTGCCTCACCTGGCCGAGAAGTCTCTGATGCCAACGATGACTGCGGTTGGTGCCTTCTTTTGCGTCCGCGACGTTTGGTATTCCGTGAGAAAGAAAACTCGCAAAAACCTGCAAAACCTGCCAACAGAAAACGCTTCATTTTTAGAATTGCATCACGGTGAGATAGAAAACTTTTTTCGACAGGCTTGCACTGGAGCGAAACTCAAAAATATTTCATTTCGTTTTTTAGCGCATTTTCTCATCTATGGAAAAAAAGGTGCTATTATGCTCGTCATGTCCGTCCGTCGGTCTGTCCGTGACCACGTTTTCGTCGACGAGAAAATGCGCTCTCTGTCACTCACTGCAATGAGTACTGAGTTATATTTTTTGACACGGGGATGGCATTCAGAGCTCAATAAAATTTATTTTAACAGTCTCTGCAATCTTTTATTGCTTGCCTACCTAGTCAGCCTACATGACAACAAACTTGATCTCAATTCACTAATATTAAATGAACACTTCTACTGAAATTTAAATTTTAGTTGTATTCTATTTAGCTTTTAACTGATCTTCCATTGATTCGGCGGCATAAACATCGGTGTTCACTGAGTAAATCCGACTTATTAGCCCTGAAATTACCATAAATTTGGTAAATAAGAGAGTCTCTATGTTCCCACCTAGTAAACAGAGACACCAAACTTGAAGGTGAAGGTATGGGCGAACTGGATGCAAATCGTTACAATTAATATCTGGTCGAGAATATCTGCATGGTCATGTTAGCTTTCAATACATTCACAGTACAACGAGTGTGATTTAACCTGACTCATCACATTGCTCTAAACCGTCATCTGACATTTGTAGCTCAAAGTTTAGCTAAGAATTTCCATAGGTCTCTCATAGTGAGACGAGCAGCGTACGTGACCGTCTGCCTCATAACCTTTCGAATATCACTGATTCTATAAAATAACAACAACTTCACAGAACTCGAGGGCATCATTAATGATTGAATTTATCTCTAACTCGTGCTCTGTTTTGTCAGCTGCTCTGAATTTAATGTGTAATAAGCAAGGAGTTCAAATTCAGAACGATCATAGAAGAGACTTGGCGTAATCGTCCATTTCAAATTCATCTATATACACGCGATTCTATAAAAAAATATAACTCAGTACTCACTGCAGTGAATGACAGAGAGCGCATTTTCTCGTCGACGAAAACTTGAGGTCACGGACAGACGGACGGACAGACGAACAGACAGACACACGGACATGGCGAGGGCAATAGTGCATTTTTTCCATAAATGAGAAAATGCGCTAAATAGAAAAGTGCCACAGAAAAACAAAAGAGCCTAGAGAGTTTCAGGGGACACACTTTGAACTAATCCTTCACACCACAATTAAGGGCAATTATGTCTGCTATTGATTGAAAATTCAGTGTTTGTGGCACAGAACATCACCTGGTGAAGCCGTGCTGCGTGTACGTCACACTGCCGCTCTCCGTGTCAATGTCAGCGTCGTACAGGCCCGACAGCGGTGCATCCTGGACCCGGCATTTGCCCAAATAAATAATAATATGCATCGATAATCTAATTCATATATCAATATTTCCTTGGTACATCAAGGATTGAACTTTTAAACTCAGAATTTATTATTTATCAATACAATTTTCGTTATTTCAAATGCAGTAATACGGAGAGCAAGAGCCAGCGTACGAGGGTCTGTATGGACAGCAACGACACGGTGGGCAGCCTGTTGGTGAGGTAGCCGCTGATTACATCCATGAGCTCTTCAAGGCTCTGCGCAGCGCCGGAAAAGACGCTTTTTCCTTTCTGGCGAGGAGTGAAATCTCTGTAGCCTATCACCACGCGGGGGCACTCGTGCGGGGTCCGCTGCAGCCACACCCGGACGCCTCTGTGTGGGAAACCCATGACAACAATCCATCAAGACGCCCGGGGGTGTGAACTTCATTGAATTCTTTGTATGTTATGCAAGGATTGCGCCACAAATGGTGTTACACGCGACGGCCTTTGTAATTAAAAGATAGGGGGAGGCTGTAGTAAATGTGCCATTCAAACGCACTTACTTACTCGAACTTGCTTCTGTAGCGAAGACTCGCATTGAAACCACAATTACGTGGCTTAGAGAGACCACGTATCATATATGCAAATATATTCTGACTGAAGGACGACTAAAGTACATAGTATAATAAAATTATATTTTCTATTCGTACTGATCGCCATAAAATGAGAAGGTATGCATTGTATTGGTAAGGTATGCATTTTAATGATATGCCCATGACTTCAATATCAACGCCGAATTTATACAAATGAAAATTTAAATCCACTATCGTAAGCAAGATTCCGATTTCAACCTCAATTAAAATGACTGCAAGGAGTCCATGTCCGGGAATTACACGAAGGTAGGATCATCCTGGAGTGTCGTTACTCCTGCAAGAGCCCGTATTGATGATATGCTTCCTGGAATCGGTCCAGTTCGAAGAACCAACTTATAGTGACTCCACGAATTAAAGTACTGCTCATGCAAACGATTCCTTTCAAAAACAGAATATAAGCTCAAGTAATTACTTTCATATTTTATGTTAGCCCTTGCTTTCATTGCTGTCACACAAAGGATGGACGGCGTTGTACCTTTTGGCGACCAGTGTCCACATTTTCTCAGAAGCAGCACGCTCGAGTGTTCATCAATAATCATTATTCCATCTTCCTTTGTCATCGTCACTCTAGCGCATGTGCACGCACATGCATTGTGTGCACGATAATGGCGTCTGAAACTCATTGCATCAATGATTCACTGCTCCAAGTTCATTTATCACGGCCAATGTTGGGGCTGGGCTACGCAAAAGTTCTGAATAGAGTGTGAGGTGCAGCTTGCGCGTCAAGAATCAATACGTTGCTCGGCCTTTGTGCAGGCCAGGCCATGAAAAAACCAGTAGGTGGCGATCCACTGATGCCACTCACGCGGTATTGGCTGTGCCCGATGGACTCGTTCTAAGAACGTCCTCGATTCCAGGGCTCGAGGAATGGTGCCAGGGTCAGCATGAGACATTATAATACGACGCCACCGTATGACTTACAACATGCAACCTATCGAATTCGCTATCGCTGATACGCGTTCAACATGCATCGTAGTCGATCAAATATTTTTCGAGCGTGACACAATTTCTAGCATGACTTGTTTGCACGCACGCTTCTAATCAATGATACTCAACAACAGTTCTTTCTTTCATCGACTTCCTTGATGCGTTATCCGCATATGCCGTTAAATTCGTTGGTATTGTAATTCTACCAAAAAATTAGGTTTAATATTGACCTTCAATCTGTTTAATGCAGTTGATCTTCATGCCAGTTTTCTGCAGATTATTGGCCGATAAACACATCATTTCGTTCGTGTGGTGAAGAGCTTAGAAAGATCTCTTTGTTCGCATGCAACTCCGTGCAGTGCACTCTCTTCGCCTGATGTAAAATTTATCATGCATATATCAAACAGTCATTGCGACGTATGGATTTCTTCCTACATTCATAGCCTGAGCTTCATATATTCATCCAGAATGACGACATAAGCCGTCTCAATTTCGCCTCCGTTACCGTTTGCACACAGCGGCGAAGGAAATCATGTCATGGTGGGGCAGTGTTGATAGTTATTCGCTAAAATTTTTTAACAATAAGAACCCAAGAACCCGGTTACATACTAACTGATCAAAAATTTCTTATAGTGCGTTAAAGTGGATTAAAATAAAATATTTTTAATTTAAATTGTAGAAATTTTAGGGGAATTTTGGCTGAATCAGCTTCCACGGTTCAACTTATCGTGTCCTGATGGGATTAGGTAAATGTGGACATTATTGGTTAGAATAACTGTTTTTGCAGATAAAATATTCACAGCACCACGGTTTTTATGGAAATCTCTCTTATGTTATTATAATCTTAAATTAAATAATCGATAGTATAGCTGAATACTGTTTAGCTATTAGTTGCGTGATTGCGATCATACTAGTCTATTTTAAAAAATAAATACAGCGTAGGTACTAATTTTGGGGGTACCCTGAGAAGAAAGGAGAACATACATGAATTCTTAATTACCACGGATAAAATTGCGCAAATTTATCACCAGGTTACCGCCAAAGAAAATGTAAACTTAACAAACACACCCATTTAATTGCCTGTAAAGTGACGTATTCCGTTATAAAAATATATCTTTGATACAATTCCTGTCAAGCTTCACAGCTTATGTTTTTATTCAAATATGTAAAGTCATTTTTACATGAGCTCTACTTTTGGCAAACACCCAAATGGCAGTGCGTTTGCAATTGAAAAGTTTCTGATGATTCAACGTAACTTATTGCTCTTCATATCCTTTACTTTCGACGTTCGAGTTAAATATAAAAAGCTTTTAAGTAGCGATTTTCGAAGGATGTTTGCAGTGAATACTTTGCAACGCGTTAGTGTGACAAAATTAATTGCTGGCATTTTTCTATCAAATCTGCTCTTATCAGTGTAATGAGGACACCAGTGGAAATAGGTTTATTCCTGATCTATTCTTATTTGTAGCTGTACCTTAGAGCGGTGTGATAAGGCCACGCATCTTTTTGAGCTGTGTTGCCATCAGAAGTTAAAGGTAGCGCCTCGCAGCCTACCACTTTGATCTTCGTGTCGAGGCTGAGCCACTGGTTTACTTGCTCCACGACCTCCCTGGTGGCGACAAACGGCAAAAACTTTACATGTGTCAACTCATCAATCAATTTTGGTTTAGGAATTCTGCAGCTCCACTTTAAATCTTTCTGCAGCTCTTTCCATTTCTGCAGCTCCTCCAATTAGTTCATTGAATGTTGGTTGATTAATTTTATTTACATGTTCATACGGAATGTTTCAAGTGAACGAAAATGTAATTTTGGGTTTGTTAAAACATTTACCATAAACCAAAGGTGGGCATGTCAAGTTTGTTCAGTTCGACTACGACTACTGTTCATCAGTTAGGTCTTAAATTAACTTATGCCCAAATACATGATCGTTGATGATTCAAATTCTAAATGATCGTTGATGTACCTAGCCACATGGAATCATAATATTAAACAGAAATTTTTTTATCAGCACGGCTTACCCGAAGTATGAGTAGACTGTAGTCAAACATGAAGATCTGTTCGGACACTTCTTGGGAATAAAATCCTTGCTGAAGATCCCTAAAGGCATAAAATTGCCCCACCGAGGACCGGTTGCTGAATGTATTGAATGAGAAATTTTAGATAAACTTTTTTCTTCGTCTGCTTGGTTAGATTCTGAAATGGCTTGTTGAGGATAAATTCTAAAATTGGTTGTATCTGATGTAAGGTGGTCTTCATCAGCAATAGAAGTCTGAACGATGCTTAAATCTTCCGGGTCTTGGATTTCATCGTAGCCGGTTGTTGTTTTTTCTGGAGGTATATCTAGTTCAGTTGTATATTTTAAATTGAGCAAACTGTTTACTTCTTGAGAAGATTGTCTTCCTGTAGGAGTACTGCTAATAATGAGGGTCTCTGACTTTTTAGGAGTTTCTTCCCTCTGATTTGAATCCACGTTATTTTGATCACCAGTCACTTCTACGTCTCCAGTATTTTTAAAGAGATCTACTTCTTCGGGAACTTCGGAATCTTCAAATGTCACCACCTCTAGCGGAGCTTCTGTATCTACAGGACATTCCGTTTGTACATCGTCCTGCTGGGGTTCTTCATTTTCGTCATCGTTCACAGGCGAAACCGTTATTTCAGTAGGATTTGCCATATTTTACTCAATCGTACATATTTTGGTTTAATAATACGTTAAAACCATACACTCACATTCGTTTCAAATCCATTAAAACTCAACACGTTTTCGTCGACCGCTAGGAGCGCACTAAGAACTTTCAGTGATTCACTCAAGGCTCGGAGAGTCGTTGCGGGCACTATTGATCAAGTGACTGCTGCTCATCGACTGACGAGAGCGACGCGACACCGTCAGGCGTGACAATCACTCCATGTAAATCCACTGGCACAGATGAGGAATATTGAATTACACGTGAACCGCAAATTCCATTCTCTTATATGCAAATCAATAGCCACGGGCTACAATAAACCCCATCAGAGCTCAGTTAAGGCCTCAGAAGAGTTAACACAGCATAGCATATTCGGCGTTGGAGGAATAAGCCTGTTCAGACCTGCAGCCGATCTGTATTTTTCGTGACTTCTTCACATATCTCAAAGTTGGTCTTTTGACGAGATTTTTTCAACTGACGTTGTTTACATCATCACTTATACTAGTTCCGCAGGGTGTCAGTCATTTCATGACTGAATATATACTTTAGCATAGCATTCTCTAGTTTATTCTTAAACGTGTGGATACTCGGAGCGTCAACAATAAGTCATCAGGGAAACTGTTCCATATGTCGGTGACTCGCAGAGAGAAGAAATGTTGCATGAATGAATTGTTCCGCAATTTTTTTTTCTTGCTCAATACCGGGGCCCTCGGTGTAAGAACTTGTTTCAAATTCTAGTATTCCTTCTGGGACCTTGTATAAACCACGAGTATACTTGTATACTTCAATGAGGTCACAACTCAGACGTCGATAACAGAGACTTGGATATTTCATAATCTTTAATCTTTCTCCATAAGACTTGCCCTGTAACCCACTACCGCCTGAAATGAGTAACCGGATTAATATTGTCACAAACCTACTTCCCAAAAAGGATACGTTCTAGTGAGCGCAGAATGACTTGCACTGTTGGTTGCCGCCACGTGCGGCAACTTTAAAATGTTCTCTGTTGCGTGTAAATGTCCTCAGATTACTACACTCAATAGTTTTCGAATAATTTCATTTGAAAGTTATGTTATGTCTGAAAGAATATTGTCAGGATGGCCGGGATGGTTGCAAACATGTAAATTGTTCAGATATTGTTTAAAGAACTTTGCACTCCATGATGCAATGTTATGTTATGCCATTCTCCTTCTTTAACTAACGAATTTGTACCGATTCGACACTTCAGCGAACTCGCCTGCGAGCTCGAATGCAAAACCTAACTTCATTTCCAACTGTGGCACTCATAACTCATTCAATTTTTTTTGTTAATACGGAAAACCTAACTTCATTTTCAACTGTGGCACTCATAACTCCTTCAATTATGAACGGATTTTATTTGCATTTCGAGCTCGCAGGCGAGTTCGCTGAAGTGTCGAATAGGTCGAATTTGTGCAGAATAAGTAGACCCTCCATAATTAATTTAAACAGTTTCCGACCACTCCGACATGAGTGCTTGAGCGACATACCGTGGACTTGGTAAATTAACAGCGCCTCTCCGGGAATTTCAAGAAACACATTTATTGCAAACCTATTCATGGCTGCACATTTATTGCGAATTTTTCGCTTCCATTGATCTACGACTGTTTTGTGCGAGGAAAGAAACTGCCCATTATGCTTAAATTATTTTTCTTCGTGCTTAGGCCAATATTGCCCAGCTTCTCATTACGCATTGAGAGTGGTTAACAATAATAAATTCAGAAAAATCATGTTTTTTCAGGCATATATGGTCGACGAGATAGAAGCTGAATTAATTAATGATAATGTTATGTGGTAGGCTAACTGTGATACAGCGTGTGTGTGTGTGTGTGTGTGAAAGATAATCATCAAACTGATATTTATAAGGGGAAAAATTATTCAGGATAATTCGGCAAAAAGTATAGGGTGATACGAAAAATGTAGGCTCCTGATATATAAACGATTGCCTATAGAAAAATAATCTCTAAAAATCCCATTCCATCTTTAGACGAAATTTTGCCTTGAACGGAAGGCAACATTCCTTGTTAGTTCTGTTTACTTTTTGTTGTGAGCGGTGCAAAAATGAAGTACGTATATTTTTGGAATACAAATAATATTTTGTTGATGTTCCTAATAAAAATACAATCTTAGTCTGAATAACATTATATTTTATATGAAATTCTTTCATTTCAGGCTCCAGTTGTGCAGTTATAGCGGTTACAAAATTCATCCTGGCCATGGATCTACCTTGGTCAGGAATGACGGAAAGGTAAAGATAATTTATTTATTTACTTGACATATTGTTATCGGGAATGAAATCAGTTTAACCGAGAATACAGTGGAAGTCCAACTATATAGTATGTTGCAATTTATTTGTATAATTTTTCAATTTTAAGACCTAAGTTCAATCTGTTGAGCAAAGACTGGTTTCTTGATTCTAGGTAGGCCTACCTTTTTTCATTAGGAAGCTAAGGTAGGTGTTGACTATTGATTTAATTATTACTGCACCATTTGATTAGAAGTCCTCTAATTTTTTTTTGTCTTTGGGATTGGGAATGTTTTATGTAAAGGGAGTTTTTCTTAATGGTCATTTTGATCTTTTACATTTCACACACGATTGTTTTGTTAAGGCCTTAAGTTGAGGCTTGAGCTGAGGCCAGTGAGTTGAGGAGACCAATGGTGTCAAAGCAGAGACTTTTTTTTTTTACTCATCCCAAGTGTATTTTGAGTCGTAGGTATGAATAGACCAGTGAACTTGAGTGAGGCATTGTGAATAGGCCACCAGCATTATCATACATAAGGAATTGGCTTGAATTTTGAGTAGAGGAGGTAGCCTAATTGAATGTTATGCATTTAAGAAGAAGGGTAATTGCGGTATATTCTGACACATTAAGGACATAGCAAGAAATGAATGGCTATAAAAATATCTCTGTAGTATGCACAACTGAAGTTCTGATTGGTTTACGTCACTCGTAAAACACCGCACTATGCACCAGCAACGATGAATGTCACAAACTGTTGCCATATTTATTTAAAAGCCTTTAGAATTCAAACCTACAAAATCCCTGAATTCCATTACTGTGTGTGACTAAATTTGTCGTATTGTGAGACTAATTCCAGCAGCGCCCTAAACTCTATTAATTTGTAATTCCAGCACGGCGGTGGCGCCCTGTGTTGGAATTCCGATGCCCTGTGCCCCTGTCTGAGCTGTATCGGAGTACGACACAGCTCGGAATGAGCTTAATTAAAAATTTTTAATTTTTTAATTAAGCTCTTGATTAGGAACTAGTAGCTTTTAATTGAGAAAATTCTAATTTTTGGACATAGCTCGGAACGAGCTGTGTGTGTCTAACTCCACACTGTGTCGGAATTAGTTTTTATGTGTCTAAAACTGTTGCATAACTGTCAATCTGTCATCAATATAATCAATCAATCAAAACATAACATAATAAACTATTATCAATTTATTTACCATTTGAAATCGGCAAATACAAGTATACTTAAATGATTCATAATATGTTCACAGACTTATTTAGAAGTCTCAAACCATAATATTCTTTCTACACAAACAGTTCATCACTATTTGATAGAGCAAGGTCAACTATCAACTTTGCCATGTTTTTTGATGTTCTCACTGGGTGATGTGCACCGTCTCTCTTTGGATCTCAACATTTTCCTGCCAGGCGGTCCAGACCTAGTGTTTTGGCAATAGTATGGCGCGCAATAGTGTGACGTCATTATTTCAACCATCAACAAATGCTTGGAACTAAGACAAAGCTTAATTTAAAGGAAAAAAGTTTAGTTAGAAGTGTCGGACTTACCCACGATGTCTGGATATACCGTGTTTACCCTAGCTACTTTTCTGGGACCACACTTTTAATGAAGCCAGTGTCACCAATGCTACAATAAAATATTTTTATTTTTGTTTGAATGTCAAAAAAAAAATATTTTTTACTTCTTTGAATTATTTTGATTATTCTGTCAATTGACTTGTGCATCGTCCCCAACTTTAACAAAAGTGTACAAAATTTCAGGTTGATTGGACAGGTATCTAGAAGTGTGTTAAATATTGATGAGATTTTTAGCAGACAGACGAAGAACAAGAAGTGAAATTATTAGAAGTGTGAAGTGCAGTAAAATAAAGTAAGCTGATTCTTAAAAATCTCTAGTCTGCCACTATCGTTAAGGTTGGTTTGTAATATTAGGCAGAACTCGGAAGTTTCTTGAAAATTGTGGGCAAAAATGATTGTTTAACAGGAGTTTTTTTCTAACTCATGGTTATAAATTAATGGTTCTTATTTCTTACTGAAAAAATTCAGTAAGGAACAGATGAAATTGGCCAGATTCACAGGCATTTCCAATTCACTGGTGGTTTTTGCAAATTTTCCACTTGGTCTTGAAGGCAAAGTGTCAAACCTGAGATTTTTAGAATCAGTTTTAATTTCCTCATCTACTCAATAATCAATATTTTAATCAATTTCTTATGGATGATAATACTGGTATCCAAGTTTATTACATGGTGGAATTCTAGGAAAGGGTTGGTCATTTAAATCCACCAGGATGGCCAGAGTGCTCCAGCGCTACTCACTTGAGAAGTGGGACACAGGATACAAGCGGGCCAGGAGTTCCGAGCAGTGATGGGAGTAGCCGCAGCTTAAGTTAAGGCCAAAGCTAAATTTGAAGTTGCATCATAAATCAAAAAAATTTTGATAATTTTTCAAAAAAATGCCCCCCCCCCACCCACAAGAATTAGAATTTTGAAAGAAGCTACAACCAATCGATAGATGTGGTCGTTACGCATCAAATGATGTCTTGATGTATTAGCTTGAAAAATCATAGGAGATAGATATCTACAGTACCGTAAAATGGGGTAACTTAGACCGGCAGGGTAACTTAGACCACTTTTCGTTTTTTTAACAAAAACCCCCACAACTCAAAAACTATTTGACATAGAAAAATTTTGTCAATGGGCATTAAAGGCCTTATATATGGTAATTTTAACTTAATTTCCAAGCCAGTCAATATTACCCTATCAGGGCTGCCATTAGGTAGTCACATTTCCCTCATTATGGGGTGGTGACCGTGCCCCCCATTTGCAAACTATGAAACTTTCCTCAAGTTTGTCTTTTGCATATGTAACTAGATGAGTTCTACTACAATGCACCAAAACCTGGAGTTATTTTACCAAAAAATTTAATTGATTTTACCACCCGGTCTAAGTTACCCCAAGAGCTGGGGTAACAAAGACCACCACTTTTTTTGAAATTACATAAAGACTATGAGAGGCAGGAGCCAGCAATTTATTGTGAGTGAAGCTAGAGTATAGACCTGTATTTAGCATGCTTCAATTCAAGTTTAATTTAGCTAGTAAAAAAATGGCATCATTTATAAAAATAAAAGTGGTCTAAGTTACCCCATTTTATGGTACCCCCTTTTTTGGCCATTTTCTAAGAATTTCATGTTTTCTTTCATTCTTCAAAAAAATTTACATGAACATAAAAGCCATAGCCGTCTTACATGTGCACCAAGTTTCAAAGTGATCCATCCGTAAATAACCAAGATACAAATTTCCACCAGACACTCCCTTTACAAAAAGCAACTGAGGCATTCTTTCATGTCAAGGGCAGTTTAGCACATTAAAATGCGAAATGTTATTAATTTTTTTCTAAGTGGTGTCAAAGTTTCATTGTTGTTAGACCATCTAGGAAAATGTTAAGATGAAGGAAGTTTCTTGTAGAAGAGTGGATCTAAACTGCAGAATATTGTTGTAATGACATATTGTTGGGCCGTACAATGATTGATCAAACAAAAATATGTGACTCCAAGACTACTAGATTTTTGTATGAAAAATGTGGCTTAACACGTTGACTCCAAAGTGGTACAAATGCTTACCACAAAATATATTTCTCCAGGACGTTGTGGTACATAATTCAGGTTGCCTAAAATCGGCCAAATCTGAGAATGAAAAAGGCCAATAACTCAATATATACTAGTTTATATGTAGGTTCTACTATAAAAATGCCATTTATTTCCTTTTTGCAGTATTTAAAATTTAATTAGGAAGTACCCATATCATAAATTTAAGCCTGCTAACGAAATTGAAAAAAACTAAATCACAGAATTTGTCCGGAAAAAATGACTGTCTGGCAACCTTGTTTAAAAACACTACAAAAAAATGAAATAATGTACAAGATGAACGTGTTAAAGCTGCAAGATTTATATTCCGGGATTATTCCACTCAAGTCATCAAAGCTTTAATAATTCAGTCATATTAGATAGCATGCATTGAGCAATCAAAATTTAATGCACTACAGGCAGTAACAATGCATTGTTAGGTGATAAATTTCAGAAAATTTTTCTTAATGGGACCATTAGTAGGGGATAGTCCACCATTTTGCATTTTTAACTTGTAATCCTCATATTATCCAGAGTCAGGAAGATTTTGTGATTACAAATTTTACTTTATGCTCAGAGTTGGTTCATGGCTTGGAAAACTGACCTCATGGATATGAAAATGTATTCATTGGTCTGTAAATCCATTCATGCTGGTATAGGAGATATTTACACAAAATTTTTATTTAATCTCAAAATTTCTTGATAAATCTGTTCAATAATCCATATGTCTTTTAAAAATGTTCAAAATAATTGGCTCAACATCATTTCTAGTGTTGTAAACTTAAGATACTTGAAAATGAATTTCCATCACATTAACACTGAAATGACTTTCAGACCATTGATATTGGGCTTGAAAGCAATATATCATTGAAGGGTTTGGTCTAATTTTCAATCAACAGGCTGTGTTTTTCAAGAAAAGATCTTAATTGATTTCAGTAGACAAAATATTACCAGGGTAAAAAACTAAGTCTAAGCACTTGGCTTCCCTCATTTTAACTTCTTGAAAGTGAGCATTTTATTATAAGTCCAGACTTTTTTTCATGGATTTTAAAGTTGGTTGCACAAAACTTTGACATTAAAAATACTGTTTTTTTTACTGAGTTTTTAAAAATACTGTTTACTGAGTCCTAAAAAGCATTGGTAGTTAAAATTTCATTAAAAATGCAGATTTTTTTGTGACCAATGGTTTTTTTTATTAAATTTTTAACTTTGAGAGCCTACTGTATTCCAATTGAATTCAGATGAAGTTTAAAATGGTATAATTTAAATAGTTATTGCATGAAAGGGTTGATTCACATCTCTGTTGAGTTAATTTTCACATTTATTTATTCCATATAGTGATATGTCCATAATGACTTGAGCACGTTAGAAACCCTGTTGACAGTAATCTCATATTATTGGTTTTCTTTTTTGAAACCTAAACTTTTTAAGTTAGCACTTATTTCTATCTGTATTGTGGTCAATGTATCATTGGATAAATAAACCATGCTTGGATTATTTTTTTCTTTATTGAAGATTACATTCTATGTAGGCTCAATTTACCATTTACATTTTTTTCGAATATTAAATTTCTTTTGCTATTCCTAGCAGATGTTGATTTGTTCTGATTTTAACCTTTGCAATTCATGCCACAGACTTTCGTGTTCCTGAATTCCAAATGCCGGAGGTCTCACCTGATGAAGCGCAGCCCTCGTGAAGTGACCTGGACTGTGCTGTACAGGAGGAAGCACCGCAAGGGGCAGGAGGAAGAGTCCAGCAAAAAGAGGACCCGTCGCCACCAGAAGTTCCAGAGAGCTATTGTTGGTGCTTCTCTCACAGATATTCTTGCCAAGAGGTAATACTTGCAACTAACGTTTTTCTTGCTGTTGGTACAAATTTAATTGGTAGTAGTCAAAAAGAAAGGTTGTTTAGGGGTATTAACCCTTTACCGCCTGATTTTCTGGGTGAAAAATCACAAATTTCAATTTTCGGGGTTTTAGTCTCGCCTTAAAGCAGACATTCTGACCTATCCAATGGTACCAAAATCATCTCTGTACGTTGATTAATGCCTTGACGACAGATCGCGAATGGGTTAAGGGTGGGGGAGTTCTTTCACATTTGAGATAGGCGAAAATTACCGGCTGGGCACATAAAGACGGTCTGAAGACGCTGATCTTTAGTTACCTGGCTGCTGTCGTGTGGAATGGTGCTCATGCGGTCGTTCCCACCATCCTTGACTGAATTTCAGTTCCAGTAACGTCTAGTCTTGTATCCATGCCACCTTGAATGCCTATTTCGAGGCGCTCGGGACTTTGTCGCGCTCTACAGAACATACATACTTATTGTCACTGCAAACCTATCCTCCTAGAGTTTTTAAGCTACAGCAATCAGAGATATACCGTTCGATTCGCAAATAAAAGATCTAGAGATTGGTCATGGCTTTATTCAATTTCGTTATTGTTTTGAAAATATTTTGAAATAGGGAGNGGGGGGGGGGGGGGGTAATCAAATTTTTTTTCGTAGAATGCCCACCCCACCCACAAAAATTAGAATTTCGAAAAACATCAAGGATCAATCGATAGATATGGTCCTTCCGCATCGAATGATATGCGTCTCAATGTTGTAGCTTGAAAATCCATTTGATTTGAATAATTATTTTGCTGTTGGGTTGGTAAAAAGTTTGAATTTAACCGTTTTTAGTATTATTTAAATGTTCTAATTTTTCTCTAATAATAGTCATTTTGTTCATTTATCAATTGTATAGCTTGGACCCTCCGGTTCTACTGTTTTTTGTAAAGATATGTTGTCTATGACTCATTAATCACTTGTTTCGAGAACTGAAAATGCACCCTTGTGAGACATTCCAGTTCATAGTTGTAATTGCTACCAGCAGTTAGTGATAGCTTTTGGTTTACCTGCTTTTTGGTCTCACGAATATGACGTCGTCTTCTCTTCTATTACAGGAACATGAAGCCTGAAGTGCGAAAAGCGCAGAGGGAACAGGCTATCAGGTGAGAGATTTGAGCATTGTTGATGTAGGGAAGCGTCTAAATGTAGTTCGTGCATTTTGAAATATCGTCACCGATGATAATTATAAGATTTCTCGATGAGCTTATTACAAATGGCAACATTTTTCGGATAGAACACCTTGATTAACTGTTGAAATTTTATTTTGCAGAGCACTGAAGGAGAAGAATAGAGCGGCCAAGGCTGCGAAGAAGCCTGCTACCACCGCCGCGCCCAAGTTGGAAAAGGTAAGAAATTTCTGTTGACAAATTTTCATTTTTGATAATTAAAAAATTCATTCTGATGAATATTCCTCTTTGAATTTGAGGATCATGGAAAGGTTACGGTTAAGTGAAATGTTACGGCAAGAAAAACTGAATGAGTACAGCGTAACATTTCTTGTGCAGGGCAAGTCGGCGATGCAGAAGGTAGCCAAGCCCATGCCCAAACCCAAGATGGCCAAGACTGGTGGACATGGCGGCCGACGATAGACCCAATAAAATTATCGGTGGAAAATTTTCTTCATTTATCCACTCGTTGTCTGCAATGATTCTTGGAATTAAAGCTGGGAATATATTATCAGGTATCTCGACGTGCATTGTAGGATGAGTAACAAGAGCGGAAAAGACAATTTAATGAAAGTAAGTGTAGCATACCGACTAAGTCGAGATACGATATTTTCACAATCGTTCGTACGAAATGAATCGGGTTGGCTTTATTCTGAGTTTTTATAGATAATAACTGCGCATAAATATTCTACCCTCATTCAGTGAAGATCGCATAACCAGATCAATGCTGTACCTGCCAATGGATAGAAAAGAAAAAAAATATTTGTAACTGTCTTGTTGGTAGTATAGATCACAGGATAATTGTGTTCAGAGAAGTCAAGCGCTCAGCAGCATTTTATGGTTTTTGTTTGCAACAGTTCCGGGTTTAGTCCATTGCGTTATTTTCGCCTGCCGCAACCTCCTCTTCCTCTTGTTCGTCGGGATACTCGTCTTCGTCAGCCCCCGCATCCTGGTATTGCTGATACTCGGAGACCAAGTCGTTCATGTTGGACTCGGCTTCAGTGAACTCCATTTCGTCCATCCCCTCGCCTGTGTACCAGTGCAGGAACGCCTTGCGCCGGAACATCGCCGTGAACTGCTCGGATATTCGCTGCAAAGAAGACAAGCATTATTTGCACGCCATGATTATCGATCTACAGCCTTTACTTGCTCATCATTTAGAGATGTTAATGTTTGATCATGTGTTGAAAGAATGTTAGCTGGGACCGTATGGTGGAGTCAGTCAAATAACAAACAATTCACTAATTGAATTGGAAGACTTGCCAAGCAGTATTAACTATAAATATTTTTTACTTGCCTTAAAAATTTCTTGAATAGCCGTCGAGTTTCCAATGAAGGTCGATGACATCTTTAGGCCTCTGGGAGGTATGTCGCACACAGCAACCTTAACGTTGTTTGGAATCCATTCCACAAAATAGCTAGAATTTTTATTCTGGACGGCCAGCATTTGTTCGTCTACTTCCTTCATTGACATTTTACCTCTGAGGATATAAAATGAATCTCAAATAGGATGTTCATTAAAGATTGCTCCGAAACAAAATTAAAAATCTTAAGGCCACAGGGAAGTTGTTTCTAAGGCCCAATGTGCATTAACGATATAAATCTCGACACAGAATCTGCAGCCGGAAACAATCTACATGACAACTTCTCTTCCAGGTGAAGTTTATGGCATTTCGATTCCTGGACATGCACTGATTTTTCGATTTCTCAGAAAACCATGTACGTAATTTCGTACGATAAAGAAACTTAACATTGAGCGTGAATACAACTTACGTACGAAAAGCCTATATCTCATTATGGCGACAAGTTACCTGAATATTGCAGCAACGGTGAGGTATCTGCCGTGTCGCGGGTCGCACGCAGTCATCATGTTCTTGCTGTCGAACATCTGCTGCGTGAGCTCCGGCACCGTGAGCGAGCGGTACACCTGCGACCTGTTCCAGGAAAAATGTTTCAAATAGTCTTCAAAGCCTTTGACTGTCATAAGTCTTTTCATTTTACTTAGGCAGTGGCTTTGCAAGTTGGAACGTTTACATCAAAAGTATGTATTGAGACTTCTTATGAATAGCCACCGTGGCTTGATTCACAATATTCATAGACACATATCGCCTTGAGAAGTGATCCCTTTGAGGAGCGAGTGGGCATTATCGGCTTGGCCAGCTTTTGTACTTTAGAAGACGACATCGCTTGGTAAGCCTCGAGTTTAATGAGCGCTGGAGCAACAACGTACCCTCTAGCAGTGAGCGGTGCAAAGCCTGGCATGAAGAAATGTAGTCGCGGGAAAGGTACCATATTCACCGCCAGCTTCCTGAGGTCCGCGTTCAGCTGGCCAGGAAATCTTAGGCAGGTAGTAACGCCTGACATGGTAACCTGCATATCATTATGTAATAAAAGGATTTATTTAGCGACCGAAAGCGATGCGACTTGTTTTGATAATGTTTCAATTACCAGAGAATCTACGTTGTATTTTTAACAGAATTCGGACTTTTATTGGTTCCTCGAACAAGTAAAATTTAATTCTGAATTCTGAGAAATTGAATCCTTTAATAGGGCAAGCTGGGGCATCACTCCAGTAAATCAACTAGAGTTTACCGCTACATCTCACGAACGCTACGTTAATAGACAGAGCTTAGGATCAGTAGGTATGCGGGTAACTCACAGAAACTAGATGGTTTAGGTCGCCGTACGATGGAGAAGTAAGCTTCAATGTTCTGAAGCAGATGTCGTAGAGAGCCTCATTGTCGATGCAGAAAGTCTCGTCGGTATTTTCGACGAGCTGGTGCACCGAGAGCGTCGCGTTGTAGGGCTCAACCACAGTGTCCGATACCTGCACAAAAATTGTGAGCTTATTACTCCTCTTTGCTTCACTTGAATAGTGTTAAAGTTAAATTAATTTCGCGGAACCATCGCATGAATAAATGACTTTACTACATATGCCTATGTATTACAAATAACTTGGAATACTCGCATTTACAACTAGTGCTCAAGCGTCGCTGGAGTACTGCGTCCTTTTGTTTCGCAGCTGAGTACAGCGTAGTCAAAGCAAGTCTAATTTGTGAATAGTTTAAATTGTACAATGACCTAGACAGAGATTAAGTACCGCCAGATTTAATGAACGAGAAAATAGTTTCCACAACTCTTGCAACACATATGCTCCAATCTATACCAGTTTGTGAATAGAGAGTCAGTGACCACGTGATGTAGCTTGTAGCGTTATGCAACCCTATTAAAAAATAATCACCTGAAAAGACTGATAAAAGCTATTCCATGAAGTGATAACACCTAAAACAACTCACTTTTGGGCTGGGTATAACGGAGAATGTGTTCATAATTCTGTCAGGATATTCTTCCCTGATCTTCGAAACAAGAAGCGTCCCCATACCAGACCCTGTGCCGCCTCCTGTGATGAGAACTTTTGTTATGAAAGACGCAACGCTTACAGGCAATTAAATTAAAAACTGACTCCGCTAGTGACTACTGGCAGCGTACTTCCGAAATTACTACTGGCAGCGTAGACATGAAATTTACCGACAATGTCAGAATCTAACGTCACAAATAACTTTATAACCAACGAACCTACGCAAAATAATTTGTGAAATTCCAATCACAATTATAGCTCGAAATAAAAAGTACTAAAAAAAATAAGTCACTATTATTACTGTAGTTACGGACTAAGCACCTGTAATATATATATGTTTTCCCAGTGTGGTTCACTCAAAGTCCACATCATAACTTTACTACGTAACATAACAAAAGATTTTTTCAATGTAAGTAACAAGAAGTGTAACCACATGGCAGAGTTGGACCCAAAATCACGACAGTTTTCGAAGTTTCGACATTGTGAAGATTATTAACATAGCAACATAAGGCGAGAGAAGAATAAAAAACTCATAGTTAGTTCGTTAGAGTTAGAAGAATACATGGCACACCTAGGGAGTGTGTGAGCTGGAAGCCCTGGAGGCAGTCGGCGTTCTCAGCTTCCTTCCTGATGACGTCCATGACGGAGTCGACGAGCTCAGCGCCCTCCGTGTAGTGGCCCTTCGCCCAGTTGTTGCCTGCGCTCAGAACACAAGATCGTTACGCAAGCTTTTCCGCTGATGAGCCTACTTAATTATTGTAATGAAGTTCAAGAACTTTGACTAAATTATTTAACATGATGGCTCTAACTCAATTGTTTTGCTTTGCGTTTGAAACAATGTGCCATCGGTCCATTAATAGACCAATATTAACATCCTTTTGGTATCCTTTTACATGACCAATATCATTTGCGTCATTAATAATAATAACATTCACTATAAAAACTAGGGTTGCATCAAGATCTTCTCAGAAAAAACTGAAGGAATAAAAGTTTTAGGCAATTGAAGGCATAACAAGATCCACTGTACGAGTAGTTAGTTATCTGTGATATTAGACTCCATGTAATCAACCAAGAGAAATAAGCTTCGTTTCTAAAATCAACATTATCTGTTAGGTGACTTACCGACGCACGAAAATATCTGCACATCACACTTTTGTCAAATTTAAGTTCAGCTATCTTTGTCTCTTGAAGCGTAATTATGCATTTAGTTATGTTTATTTGTTCACCCGCTCCGCTTTGCCCGAAGACGAAGTTATCGGGCTTGAAGAGCCGCCCCACGGGCCCGCCCCTCACCGCCTCCATCGTCCCGGGCTCCAGGTCGACCAGCACCGCCCGAGGCACGTAGCGTCCTCCTGTCACACGTCAACGTCAATACATTGTACGAGTTGTGATAATGAGGTATGAAAATTACAAATACTCACTGATTGCATTGTAACTTCAAGAGTAACTGTGAACAGGTTGATCAGATAACGTATCAGTGATCCAGAAACTTGCAACAGATGAAGGTTGAACCAAGCAAAAAACATTTGTTCACATACTTAAGAAGTTTCTATATTAGATAATGGCTTGCATAGTGAACACAAGTCAATGCGACGCGAAGTATTACTTAAAATAAATTCCGATTTTTGCACGGTAATAATTAGATTAAACAAATTTCACTATGCGTAGAAAACGGAACAGTTGACTTGGATAATTGATTACGAAATTAAATAGGCCTCTGCAGAATAAGTTTTGCAAATGACACTCAAATTATCATTTGTGAATATCGTGTTACTAACGTCTAGAAATCGCGAAGGAAATTTCGTTCTTGCCGGACTGCCGTTGTTGACACTATTTGAGCGGCGGTGCTGCTTGACAACGTCACCGCATTCCTATAGAGCGAAACCCTCGCTAGCCTTTTTTTTTGTCCCGTGTAAATACCACGAGAGGCGTAAGTGCTTCTGTGTCACGAGAGCTCTCAAGCTCTGAGGAGTTTTTAGGCACGCGTAAAAGATCAAGAGGCAAAGCCGCAAAGAAGAAGCGTCTTTCACTCACCACTCGGCCCACTCCAACCTGCGGCGCTAATTAAGAACAAAAGGAAAGCCTGATAGCCGCAAAGTAAGAGGAGCGGAATGCCATTGCGAGCCAGAGGGCAGTGAACGAGAGTAAGCATGTTGGAGGAGACGAATCTACGTTACTCTGACGTAAGATCGACAACCTCAGTCAGACGAACCCAGCAAAGAAATGGAGGTATTTTTCAGCTTATATTGTTTCGCTTCCGAAGAGAAAACACGGCACTGAAAGAATAAGTCGAGATTCAATTCTCTAACTAAACGACCTATCCTTCAGGGTGAAACGAAATGCGCGAATTGAATGTTGTGATCCTATTCTCCCAGTACTTGGCAAATGAGTGAGTGGAATATCATCTGAAAACTAAAAATCGGTTTTAGCCACATAAGTTCTTAGGTTAAACCCATAGGATACATGACATAAACATTTCTTTAACGTGAAAAATAGCCTCAGTTAATTGGTTCGACTGAGAAATCAGATATTGCAGACATCCTCAATGCACCGGGGCATTGTTAGTGGAAAAAATGTACTAAACTAAACTAAATCATTGTAGTTGAGAAACGAAATCGCACGTGGAAGCGAAATCTCACTGGGATCTAGAGAAGAGGTTTAAGTTCTCACCTGAAGCTTCATTGTAGTAGACGCTGATCCTCTCGAGCTGCAGCTCGTTCTCAGCGAGAGACTGTCCCACGGGGTCGATGCCGTGCTCGTCACTGATCACCTCCCAGAACTGACAAGTGAGGTTAGTAATCACATTTCAAACACTCATAACCAACGAAAACTAAGACTTAATCATGATGATACACTTAACTAAGTCAATTCTAGGCACGAGTGAACTAATGAACCGGCAAACAGGAAGAAGGATCCTCTACTTCGACAAAATAAAATTATCACTGGTAAACAAACCGTGAATATCTTCCACGAGTTCAACACCAGAAACCCGATCATCGCAATCGAAAAGAGGATGATCCCGCAACCCCCGGGACGCCTCTCTCTCATTTTAAAAACGCAAAAATAATTCATCCTGAATAACATCGTAAATTTTCCCTAAAAATGTAACTACGATCTCCTATAGAAGACAGTTGAAATCTCACCTTTGAGCCGATCTGGTTGCCGCATTGACCGGCTTGAAGGTGGACGATTTCACGCATCACGTAGAAATTATTTAACAAGATGCACGCCTAAACTATCAAACGTGTTGCAAATGGACAGAAAATAGTATAATAGCGACACTAGATGTAAACCAGACACAAATAAAATTACAGCCTATTGTGTAGATTAAACTGCGCAAATCGACCGATTAGAGGATCTGACACAGGGCAAGACCCGAGCTCTGCAATCCTCGTTGACTGAAGACCGCCGGTAGGAAATTGGCTCAAGCCGACGAACGCACTTCTTGGCTCGCCGCCCAACACACGCGCAAAAAAAAAAAAAACCTCCGACAAAAATCTAAATAGTATCCTAAGTGAATATATTTATCTTCATTTAGCGAGATGATAGCTATCGAGCACTCAAATCCTTGTTGATCTAATATTCATAACAAATTTAAATCACAGCATGGAGTTCCTTCAGAACAGATTACAGACGATAAAGTTGTGCTAGTGACAGCGTGCAACAGGCGCGAGAGGAGTACAGACGCACAGGCGAACAGCGCGCAGGCATCACGCACAGAAATAGACGCGACCATCGCGTGTACTCGTGGCGGCGCTCTGAACATCATCAATATGACAGCGTTTGCAGGAAATGCTCGAGGACTTACACCTGCTCACGGCCTTGGCAATGATTGACAAAATGCTTGTTGGGCTACAAATAACTTTGATGCATTATTCATAGTTATTGTTAATTAGATTTGAGGACATTAGTTGAAAAGTAACGTGATAGAAAATCTTGATTAGTCTCAAAATATTCAAGTATTAACCAATCCATACTGAGCAGCCATCGTTGTCCCAGCGAACGATAATCCAATACAGATATAAGGCAAAAATTGATCGTTTGATCGCCAACAAAATTCATCAAATTTTTATTTCAACAATGATGAAGGCCTGTACAAAAAAATTAACAATGGTCATTTCAATTTTTCGACACGTGAATACGTGTATTCAAACTCCAAAATTTTCAATGAAAATCTGGTGAACTTTCCTGGAATTTATTTGCTAAGAAATTCTTGAAGCAAGAGTTGAAGAGACTGTTCAAAGGTCAATAATAGGCTTTCGAATTCACGCTCAAATCATAACATAGACAAAATATCATCGAGTATCACAGTACCAGCGACAATCCAGTTTCGTTACATTATAATTGATAAGATGAGAGTAATATAGTATAATACTGGACATGAGGCTTTCTAGCTCATCAGGTCTTGATAAATCTTACACCGGGTCACACAATGATAATTTTGTAGAACTTTGTAGATCTCGACTATGCAAAATTCCATGAATGAAACTTACTAGATCAGCCACAAGAAGTAACAGTTTAAATAGCGATAGAAACGACGGCAGGAGAACACGGCGTAAATAAGTTAAATAAGACGTCGGTTAACTACACGAGGGAGACTGTGGAGTGAAAAGAAATGCTTCCGACCAAACGACTTGACTCCGCAACTGAGGCAGGCAGTCGGCTACCGCGAGAAGCAGTTTGGGGCTCCCCAGCTAACTAGCAATACTTGATATGAACGTGTGATATGAGCGTCCAATATGAACTCCCGACGAGACACCATGTTGATAGGAGACACCATGTTGGGAGGAAAGATGTTGTGGCAAGAAGTAAAAACATTTCCAACTAGTAGTCCTTAATAAAAAGAAAACATTTCTTCCTAATATTACTCAATGAAATAAAAACATTTCTTCCAAATAGTCCTCACAAAAATCACAGACTATGGTGAAGAATTTTGAGCCAATTAAACATTTCAATAATAATAGGGAGCACATATAAATAACGTCATCTAAGAAGATTCACAAGCAAGTTTACGATACATTATAAATAATATGAATAATAATAGATTAATAAAAGAAAAACAAAATTTCAAGTAGAAATACACATTTAAAAAATTAAATTTTCAAGATTAGAAAGCTAAGTTTAAAGCCTCAATCCAACTACTCACTAAGAATTTAAAGAGCATTTCTACAGCGATCGATAGACGGAAGTCAAGGATTTTATAAACACCTACAAACAAATCAATAAATGATACTATAAAGATAACGAACAAGACTACGAGAATCGCAGGTCTGTAGTCATGTCTGTAACTGAAAAAAAATTATTCGAGAAAGATTGATTATGATTGGCCAAATTATTTTTGATATTGTAATGGTCTTTAATGCTTCAGCCCCAGCTTACGACAATTGTGAATCAATTAAGACATAGAAAAAGAAGCTTTGAAGCCGTCCGTCGAAAAATTGCTTCGCTCATCTCACTTGCTCTTTATTTAGGTTTCAGGCATTTTATTTAGGTTTTGGTTTTGGCAGCCATTTTATTTAGGCGTCATATTTTGTTACCCTATACAGTGAGAATAAGGCGCAAGCTGAGTTAACAAAAGGTAAAGCCCAATGAAAAGTAATATTAGTTAGCTACAAAATCTACAAAACTAAACACTCCAACACACACGGTTTGAGCGGTAAGCTGCACCATTTAATCTCGTTTTATGAAGACAAATCAGTGGCTCAGCTCAGGACTGTATGACGCCTTGAACAACGTTCATAAAGAATAGGTTACACTCATACTAAGGTAAGAACAACGCCATAACAACATCCCTACTTAATGGCAACCCTCAATGCAACAAGTTCAAACTACACGTTAAAATCAACGCACAATATTGAGCAAAAATGACTGCTTGTAACATGACACGATTGTCCAACGATGAGGTGTGGGGATACAAGCAACAATTAACCAGTGGAGACGGCAAGGCAGTAAAAGACGCATTAAACACAGCCAACTGCCAAATACGGCAAAAAATCAAACGAATAAATGTGGAGGGGCGTAATTTTCGTATCGATTTATTACAAGATCTAAAATTGTCATTTATTTGTCACCAATCGGCATGTGTCTAAAAAAGTTAAGCCCAGACTACAAGTTAAAGTCAGTTTTTGGTAAAATACAATTAAACAACAAAAAATACAATTATACAATCTAACACATTAGTATGAATGAAAAACTACTACTGAAATTAGAAGTTGCAAGTGTGCTAACTTCTATGTACTAGAGAAGAGCGGATGGTTTCTTACTCTCATTATTAGAAGTTTTTTAATATTGATCAGAATAATATGAAGGGACGTATTCGAAGGAGATGCTAACTCACGTCATGGAGGACAAAAGAGTTATTTAAAGCAAGATATTTTCATTAGTAATGGAGAGAAAAGTATTCAAACAATGAACACAAGAACAATAAATAACTACATTAATTAATGATATAGTTGTCCGCATTGAATGTGCATTGATCCATCCAAGTAAGACAGGCATCAGCGTGTCAGGCAGCGATAACCAATGTCATATAAATACAAGCAAAATGATCATGTACGCGCAGCTTGGTATGGTTTCGGAAAAAAGTTACTTATCAGAGGTTCAACTTCTCGGTGAAAATATCCCAACTGAGTCTACACAAGATTATATTTACTGCACATACATGAACGAATATTTTAATAACCAACAAACTATGATCGAGATATCAATCACGCAGCGCAAATGGAAAGGACGAAGTCGTGCAGTGATGTCTCCAAGAACCATGTTTAGCAGGCCATAAATAACAGCTGGACTTGTTATTTGTTAAACTGAAATTATTTAATTAGACTGACTATAAATATAATATTTCCAAAATTATTACAGAAACAAACATTTACAACAACATGCTGGCTAGAACATTTATCATTGATTTAAATTCAATACTAATTGCAAATGGTCGTGTCGCCAAAAGATTTTCATGTTTTTTGAAGAGCAGGTTCGCGAATTCAAAGGGGACAAAAAAAAAACTGACTGTCGTTCGTCACAAGATTGCCACAAGTAACTCCTAAAATATCACAACTGGACAATTATTATCCAATATGGCCAGTACGCGTAATACTAGTAACGATAATTATTGCTTCATACGTAACTATTGCTGTAATTTCTATGACAAACTCGGTACATCAGATGAACACATGGATGCCCTCAGTAGAGCGGAAAACTTTAACGGAATACCGACCATTTGCTCGCGCTAAGGGTATTCCTAGACGGTTTTGTGAACTGATGGGCTTTAGAATGTAATCAAGATCACCGAAAACTGATTTCCTGTTTTGCAGGCAAGGAATCTCACATACTTAGTATTATTGGCCAGCATCTACTTCGTATTATTCAAAACGACTGCAACGGCAAAATGAATTCAAATTGCAGATAACAATCGATGTATCGGCGACAATGAAGCGGCAAGAAAATTTTCACTTTGAGAAATTACCAGCATCGACATATTAAGAAGATAAATTTACGTCCTGCATTGCCGCGAGATGACGAACAATACAAGTAGTAGTAGTAGTAGTATGATGGTTTACTAGCGCTTCAGCTATCAAGCTATTTCGCACCGGAGGTCAAAATTTAACATCGCCAGTAAGGCGGAAGGTCTCAATTATTCAAAATCTCACATTAATCATCGCCCACAAGGGGCGGAAGGTCTCAATTGTCCAGCCCGCTGAAGCTGGCTCGAAGGAAGCAGCGTTAGCATCTCTAAGAGACGAAGTGACAAGGAGGGACAGGTGAAAAGCAACAGAAACGAAGACACTCGAACAAGAGGTCGCTTACACGGGACGTCGGCCGCCCGCACGAGAGAGACAGAGAAGGGAAATGTAAGGAATCCTACCTACATAATAACTTAACCCCACAACTGAGACCCGCAGTCAGACATCGCGAGCTCAGCGGTTGGGAGCTCAGGAACAGTGCCCCTAGGAACGCGAAATCCCAAAGAACTTCTGACGAGCATAGACACACGTCAGAAGTCCCCCCTGATCTTTTTCGGGGAATAAATGTGCTGAATAATATTAATTCCATTCTATAATAATAAATTATGTTCTTGAAAACATCAAATGCTTTCACATCAGCATACAATATGGGTCCCTCGTACACGCAGGACTACAGGCTGGCAGGACTAGAATATCAAATTTCAAAGTCTCAATTAACAAATTTTGGCCACCTCTACTCTATCATCTATTATTCTTATTCTCCACTCTATCTGCACTTGAAAATTTAGGTACGTGCTTAGGTGAAGAAAGTAAAAATTGTCAGGAGTAATCATATGCGATGCTTCATGTCGAGCAGCCCCAATGGCTGGGAGCGTCAAATGAGCGTCGTTACACGCACGATATGTTGCTCATTATAACATTTATTCGTTAGGAGCTAACAATTTGTGACTGAATTATGCACAGTTTATATATCCCTGTCAAAGTGTTTACTAATTAGCATTGAACTCCGTGAGAAGCAGATGCCCAACATGGATGTAATACGACGCCGATCTTCATCGCTGAAGTTCTTGTAAAGCTTCTAGTCCTGCTGATCTAATGTCATGGACGGACAGCGGGTCACAGCTCTTCAGTCAGATGCAACACAACGACTTCTATCAAAAAGAAATACATTCTGATACTAAAGTCAGAAAAATATTATTCTGGTGGGTCATAATTTGGTGCCATCCGTCTAAGGATGACATCAAAGGCTCTAGAGCAGATAATCATTATCATTCAGTCAACTATTGTGGCACTGAAATCTGAGTTGTTCAGAGAAATCTCTCTTCCCATCCATGGTTAAATTTATTTTCTAAGTCAACAGATTATTTCTAATTGGGCGTTGCATATCTGCCGACTGCATTAATGAATAATGTGGCGCTTTGCCTCGACATCAACTGATATTTGTGCCGTAGTAGACAAGTATTTGTGCCGTAGTAGACAAGTATTTGTGCCGTAGTAGACAAGTATTTGTGCCGTAGTAGACGATTCTCGCCTTAAAATTTGAAGCTTCTGGCACCCCGAAGTGATGGGGCTTTAGACTTACGGAAAACCCCCGATTTTCAACAGATATTAAACTCTTGCTCACCATAGAAAACCCAGCTGGCGACACTAATATCTAAGAGCGGAATTAGGAGTTAAATTTTTCTAGTAAACTGCTGCTATGTCAGAGAAAGATAGTCAAACACTCCTGTGTTGCCAATAGGAATTCAACCTATTACGCCTGGATGGCTAAATCTCCAACAAAACCTAAAGAATATGGAGATAGAACTGACCAATAGCACAAAAAAGTATTGAATGCAAAGCAACATAATGGAACTGTAAAAATAGAGACAGTTAAAGTTTTCGAGAAAAGGGGAGCGATATAAATGAACAAAGTAAAGCGTCGACCTCAGCTCCTGATATTCTAATCAAACGCTCAACAGAGAATAACTGGCAAGAAACTTGCAGGTAAATAAGTAATACGTTCATATCAAGGAAAAGTCTTCCATATCATCTGCCTTCAAAATAAAACGTAATACTGAGCATCCGCGATGAAATATGGAACAAGACGACAAGTGACAAGATCGGAAAATCGAAGAAATACGACACGTTTTCGCAGTTTTCGGTTCTGCCTTACGCAACCGTTTAGCAGAGTTCCATATTGGCTCAATAAACAAATATTTTGGTATTTAAAGACCACGACAGATCAGGGTCCAGCAGCACGACACATCAGGGTCCAGCAGCACGACACATCAGGGTCCAGCAGCACGACACATCAGGGTCCAGCAGCACGACACATCAATGCGTCGGCGGTGACTTCTGAGGGGCGCGGCCGTACGAAAATTTCTCCAGCGGCAAGTTCCTGCCACAAAAAAATGAGCAATCAAAATCAGGCAAGGCATATAGAAAAGAATTGTAGCGAATATAATCAGTCCAGTTTAAACCCGCAGTGACAGGGAAGTAGAAGGCGTAAGCTCACGGGCAATAGAAGGGACAGCGCGTCAAGTGATTGGAGAGGCCCGGTGCCCTGTCGTCAACTGTCCATGAGTCAACACTGCCCATGCTGCTGCTGAACACCCAAACCTGATAACCAAACAGGAATTGCAATTCTTCATCATCACAATCTCCAAGTCTTAATAACAATCGTAAGCTAGTCTGAACTGTATTATTTTACTTAATTTGTGTACAAGTTAAACGACATAGATTTGTCCATGCCGGGTGCAATTTCGCAACTGAGACTTATATGTAAGTGTTATTCAGAAATCGATTGTTTTAATGTCTCAGCACATAATAAATTATAAATTATAACATATAAAATAATTATAAAATATAAATAACAACATGCTTAAATTTCAGGGCATTTCTTCCACACGTAAATTATTCAAGCAATAAATGAATTGTTTTCACATCGTTCTGATGAATTTCACACTAATTATAGACATAAGGATAACAACATAGATCAGGATTCTAGAAGCTGTACTAATAAACAGACCGGTTCGCCCCACTGCCACGAGGTGCGCGTGTCAGTGTCAGTGTTGTGTTGGTCGTGGTGCACGGCAGCGCTGCGGCGCCAGTAGCGCAGCACCAGCCCGCGCTCCCGTACCAGACCTTCACAGGCACGCGCCAACGCCTCGCATGTCAGCGCCGCCTGACTCAAGCTGTCGTACACAAATAAAATTCTGAAATTTTTTCAAATGCCAATGAGGTTCCATTAAAAATACGAAATTTAGTGAAAAATTAATGATATTCGTAGAAGCGACTTAGGTATAAAAACAAATTTAATTGAAGCTATGGATTCAAAATCAGCATTGAGAAGCAATTTGTAAAGCTATAACATCCTCAAAATCCTCAAATACCAGAATCCTCAGATGTTGTTCACACAGGAACACCTTCAATTATTTTGGTGAAATTTTTTCGTTTAACTAATAACTGCCATATTATTGACAATCTGTACATGAACTCTAAATTTTATAATTGTAACAAATTCAGTGAATAGAATTACATTACGAAAGCACTCAGCTTGGCCTTTAGGGGCTTTATAATGAAAAGTTTCCTGTGTCAAATAAGTGGCGGAACATTATAACTGAAAAGAGGGTTTAATAAAGTAATTTTTTGTTTGAAAATTTAAAAAGCAACAACCAACTGTAGTCGTATTGTTACAACTAATTTCAACTCAGTGAATAGAGGTCAACTTAGATTATATTTTAGATTTAGATTATATAATTAAATTTAAATGATAGTAGAAGGATATAGATTATATAATTCTATTCAAATGATAACAGAACTACAAGTGCATGCATGACAGCTAAAGGCGCACCTGAAGCCATCCAGGTACCCTAGGATGATCTGCAGGACCTCCTGAGGGAGGCACGTGAGGCGAGGGGAGGTCTGGTACAGAGGGAGTGGTGAGCGCTCCCTCGGTGAGGGCGAGGGACGGACACTTGGAGAGGAAGGATCTGCGTAATGGGAGAGGGCGGTGGGCAGGATTAGGGAGGAGGAAGGGTGCACAGGGAAGGAGAAGAGATCACAGTCCTCAGGCTCCTGACTTGCAGCGCGCATGTCTGCACGAGCCATAAACAACAATAAATATTTAACACAAAATAATAACAAATGAAAACTGGCAGAAGTTTACCAGCAATGCCTACAGCACGTAGGAATGCTCGGCGAGCTAAGAAGTTAGAACTCGAGGCTGTCAGGAAAATGACATCTATGAAAATAAAATTTCAGGTGTCAAGGCTATTTCATTGAGAGGACTAATGAGTAAAATATCTAGTATCGTTGCAAGTTACTAGATGATATCTAGTATCATCTAGAAACTTGCACAACAAATCAATTCAAATATCCCACATACGTCGCAGTCCAGCAATGATCACGTCGCAGTCCAGCAATGATCACGTCGCAGTCCAGCAATGATCACGTCGCAGTTCTCTCAGAGGATCACGCACCTGGAGGCAGAGGAGGCTCGTATTCCAAGCGAGGTCGCAGGCCAAAGGCTTGCAGCGTGGGCGAGAAGGACACTTCGGCTCTCTGGGGCGAAGAGAAATTTTAAAAACGTTTACTTGAAGAAATAAATTGAATTAAATTCACAAATATTATCAAATAGAGATACTTTGTAACCAGCTTGTAGTTTGCTTTTCACTATAAACCTTGGAGTTAATACTAATTTTTCTGACTACTGAGCAGTAAAAGATAGTGAAAATGAACTGAGGATGAAGGGTTAGACGTAAGAGCACAAAAAGAGATGCTGCTTCTCAAAAACTCAAGCACTGTCACATCTCCATGTTCTCAGGAAAGCTTCATGACGTCAGCAACGTGCAACTATTTCAATAAAAAAATTACCTGCGTGACGATATAGGCAAAAAATTTTCATAAGTGCATAATAAAATTTTAGAACGAACAAAGTTACTAAATCAGAAATTCCTTAACACGGAAATTTAATATGAAGAACTCAAGCTAGCCTGCATTTTCGTTGGCTACCGTCATGATGCACGTGGCAAATAATTGGTCACTTAATTCTCAATTTTAAATCCACAGAAAACTAATAAAAATTGAATATGTTAATATAATGAAAAAATGATTGCAGTATCAAGACTGACGCTGTGCTGATGGCCGGCGGTGCGGTAGACCAGAGCGTAAGCACAGCCGCGGTAGTGCAGAGGACAGCGGCGCACCAATAGACCGCCCTCCAGACCCTCGCCCAGCACGTCGCAGTGCACACTCTGGTAGTGGCTCGCGTACTCGTCTCTTCTCAGCACCTGCAGGCACCAGTCAATATGTAGCTAGTCAATCTAGATATTTTCACAGCGAGTGGAAAATAATTAATCGTAATCAATAAGATCTGACATGTAACACCTAAAGCGATGGTTTTGCAACGCATTCAAAAGATCGAAAATGTTTTTAATTAGAAGGAACTGAATATATGTTCAGCATCACAGATGAGAATACGTCAATTTAAAACTGCTAATAGTTAGAACAATTTAGTCAAGGAAAAGAAGTGAAGCATATGCTCTCTAAAATGCAGATGTCCAACAAAAAACCTATAACTACAACACTAATAAATGCTAAGCTCTAAGTGTGGAAAAGCGAGTTAAAAACTAAATTGTTCATATAGTTCTTGAATCCAAACAATATTGTTCCTCTTTCCATTGAGTTCGTGGCAAGTGAATACTTACTACAGTTTACATTAATGACGCAGGCTCTTGTTGATATGTGCGGTTAAGCTGAAGGCATGAGTTTTTAGAAGCTCCGTTAAGTCAAATCCTGCAAACAGCGCTAAGGCGACTGGTAAGTCTCACTTGCAGACACTGTATGGTGATCATGTTGCGTGGCTTGGTCTGGTGTCGGGAGTAGTTCTCGAACGTCAGCTCCAGACGTAAGTCTGCAGGCGTCAAGCTGGTGCTTACGTAGTTCAACGCTCGACTCTCGCTGAATAAACATGCATGCATCAGGACACAAAGTAAAAAATATAACTCAGTAATCACTGCAGTGAGTAACAGAGAGCGCATTTTCTCGTCGACAAAAACGTGAAGTCACGGACAGACAGATGGACAGACATGACGAGCACACTAGGGCATTTTTTCCATAAATGAGAAAATACGCTAATAAGTGTCGGTTAGGATGAAATTCTGCATGTATGTTTAGCATACCCATGAATATGACCAAACATTTGCGCTCCAAACCTGGAGTTAAACTGCTCGTCCGATCTTTCTAATAGGGAAAGCATAAGGGTGGCATCTATTAAAATCATACATCAAAATAAATCAAACCATTATTTCTTCACCGCTCTCAAAAAGATAATACTATCAGAAAGAATCAAGATGTCCTCCTATTTATCAGTCCACCTTGCGACAATACATTGTGAGACATGGAAGAAGTAAATACCTGGGCACTGAAGACTCTGCTGCAGCGTTCTCGTCATCGCTGTCTTCCACCCGACACAGCACCACGGTGTCCAGCGGACCTCTTCTCAGCACCTGCCAGGGGCAGCAAAAGAGAACTGAGCTACGAATTTACTTCAAAAGTTATAATATTACATGCAACGTAATTTTTTTACGGATAATAAGTTAAACAAATATTTAATCGCGTTTCACATAGACATAAAACAAAGCAACAAAACAAATGCATTAAAAAATTAATGCATCTGCAATGTAGCTTCAATTCAAGTAGAGAGCGGCGCTGACATTGAAGTATCGTCCATTATATACTCATCGTAATGTATGGATAATCGAGTAATATTATTGAGAGCCACCTTAGCGATGCGCTCCTGCTTTATCCAAGGAACAACTCCGTCACCAGCATCACAAGACCAGTCCTCTCGCCACACCGTCTTCATCTGACACCAACATCAGAGCCGTAATTATGGTGCAATGTAAAGAACAGTGTTAACAATTTCTTTATATGCGCATAAAAAAAAATATTTTAACAGTCAAGCGGTCAGTTAAACTTCACGATTCACGTACAAATTATGCGGCTGAAGATTCTATATATGAGGATAAATTTAGCAATTTCACCAATTAGAAAGTTACGATTAGTATTTTAGGCTGAGGCCCGCCACCTTCACCTGTATTCTAGGCTGAGGCCCGCCACCTTCACCTGTATTTTAGGCTGAGGCCTGCCACCTTCACCTGTATTTTAGGCTGAGGCCCGCCACCTTCACCTGTATTTTAGGCTGAGGCCCGCCACCTTCACCTGTATTTTAGGCTGAGGCCCGCCACCTTCACCTGTATTTTAGGCTGAGGCTTCTCGTCCTTGCACCAGCGGCACATGTTGCGGTGGACGCCATGAGAACACACGTGCATGAAGTAGTCGTCCACGGGACCTTCACCTTACAGCCAGAATATTATTAAGGAATATTAGTAACCAAGCTAAATAAAGCATCATAATCAGGCATTAAATTCACATACATTTTTTACACAAAAAGGAAACTTAACATCAAACAATCTAAGTTAAATTGAATGAAACACAAGAACCCATTTCGTAAAGTGAATCCATTTATTGTAATATGTCTCATCAGTCGGGCTGATTTGAGATTTTATTCACTTATTTTAATAATGAATATTATCTATACCTGTCATTAATTAATATTTTCTAACATGAACAAAGAGAACTCGGAATTGAAATTGGGTAAAGAGTGAAGAGGCAACATAAAAGTTCATGAATTTAGAAAGCCATTTCACAATTTTTTTCAAAAGCCATTCAGTGCTAAGCTAAAGGTTCTCACCACGAGCATAGAAATTGTTGGAATTGGTCAGCTGTCCAGCTGGTTGTTTGCGGCTCATTAGCTTGGCACACACCGAACCTGACAAGCCTGCAATGATGGACAGTAATTACTTGAGTCTGTCCACGGCTGGCTAGTCTTATATGAATACTGAAAAGACGTCGGCGTTATAATGTTTTCTCACATTATTGGAGAATACCTTAATGATCAACTCTAGAGTATTAAGTTACATATTTAAAGATGGCTTTAAACATTCTTTCTTGAAATTTTTAGAGATAATAATACAATTTAAATTAAAGGCACACTCGGAATCGTTTTAATTTTTTCTTGCGCGCTCTAACTGAATTTCAGCTACGAGAGTTCACAAACGTAAATATAGCTGAATACTATTTCCTATAAAATATTAATTCATTATCGTTGAGTAGAGTTTAATTGATGCTGACCAGGCACAAGATCTTCTTCATCGGTGGCCAAGCTGGGCGAGCGCTTGCTGCGGCTGCTGCCGTGGTGGCCTCCAGTCGGTTTGCTCAAGCCTCCTGACATAAAATTTCATCATAAGCAAAGCACTGCAAATAAAAACTATCCTGATTTACATCCTAATCTCAAGAGTCTTAATAACTCTTGTGATGCATAATTAATGGAAATAAATGTGTCCACATATTTGAGATCAAATACAGCATCTTATTGACAATCCTACAACAACAAAATGATTCAATTGAAATTTATTTGTCGTTAAATGAAAGGCACCACGAGCAGTGTAAAAGGTTAAGAAATTTAAATGATATAAATAAATCTCGTATATTAATGACGTTAATATCTAAGAATTCTAAAGGATAAAAGTGAAAGGAAAATTGTAATAGCAACACCTAATAAACACCTAACTTGATGAAAATCGATCTTTAAATAGAATAATATGCATTGATTTCACACAGTAATCAATGAAAACTGAGATTTTCGTGTGCATGAAAAGTTTGGTCTATGATAAAATACATAAGATGGAGTAATGATAAGTGAAAGTAATAATTCGTTGAGTTATCGCGAATCATGCATACAATGCAGCAAAGATTTTCAAGCATAACATTCTATTTTACATGGAGATCCTCAAAGTTGGCAGAATTCTGAATAAATAAGCGAAGAGGAAGAGCTTTCGATATCGCAAATTTGAAGCATCTTCACAGAGGACAGAGGCAGCTTCAAAAAGTTACAAAGCGCCAGTGTGTTTTTAAATGAAATTCAAATGACATTATCTCCTGCATATTCCACACAAATTTTTAACTTTGGGCGACAGCCAAGTCTAAAAGAAAACTGAAATTGAGGACAATAAACTGGTTACTGTCCATCTGGAAACTATGAGTCTATGAGTCCAACTACCGAAAGCAGTATTATCTGAAAACTGAATGTACAACTGAGATACTAGACCAGTGGTTCCCAAAGTGGGCGATATAGCCCCCTAGGGGCGATGGAAAGATTTTGGGCGGCGGTGAGGCAGAAAAAGGCGGTAGGAGGGCGACAGTCCGAAGTCGAAGTTCGAACGTTTGTTTTATGATTTGTACACAACACGTTCAGGAATTACTCCCAGCGATGGTTTTTTTCACCCATATTTAGATCTGTTTTTTAACATCTCCTGGGTTCACGTCTAGGACAAATTAACGGCCGGACTCGCGGCCGGTCTTACAGCCGATTTAACTAATGAACTCGACTCGATGAAACTTGGTACACGTATTCATTAGGACCTAATTGTAATGTTTAGCTCGTGAAAATTTTTTGAATTTTGCCTTTATTTGTTTTTGCCATAGTTATATGACAATACGGGCCGAAATTCAGTGATCGAGGAATTTCTTATAAAACTACTGAACAGATCCGAACGAAATTTTGAATTTACCGTCCTAACTACCGAACGGTATTGATTAGCTCGTGAAAGTTTTTTTTCGATTGAGCCTTCGTTCGCGAGCTTATTTTTCATTTCACCTTCATTCGTGATTTAAACAGCAATACGTGCATAAATTCGCAGTAATCAAGAAATTTCTTCGAAATTACTGAACAGATTTGAACGAAACTTAGTATTTAAATACCTAACCTCAGCAACAGTGATGTTTAGTTCGTTACAATTTTTTCGATTTTGCCTTCGTTTGCGAGTTATACGGCTATACGTAATCGGCTATTGGTTAAACCGGCCAGTAGAAGAGCCGGCCGTTTCTTCTATATCTGTATAACTCGCGAACGAAAGCAAAATAGAAAACTTGTCACGAGCTAAACATCACCGTTGGGAGGTTTGGTATTTATATGCAAAGTTTCGTTGAAATCTGTTCAGTAGTTTGGAAGACATTTTTTGATCGCCGCAAATTTCAGCGACTAATTACCCGGCGAAACGGACCGAATATAAGGAAGTGTCAAATCAAGAATGACGGTGACATTATAAAAACTCGCAAGCGAAGGTAGAATCAAATAGTTTTTAGAAGCTAAAAAAATCACCGTTTGGCAGTTAGGAATGTATATTCAAAATTTCGCTCAAATCTGTTCAGTTCAGTAGTTTGGAAGAAATTCTTTGATCACTGCGAATTTCGGCCTGTGTCGCAATATAAGTCACGAATGAAGGTGAAATTTAAAAAATTTCCACGTGCTAAACATCACCGTTAGGTTCTGATGAATACATCAGAACCTAACCAAGTTTCATAGAGCTGCGTTTATTAGTTTGGGAGATATAACTTGATAATTGAATTTGGAGATTGGTCGTGCGACCGGCTACGAGTCCGGCCGTAAATTCGCCCGAGACGTCCTAGGTTTCTAGTGCTGAAACAGTTAAAACAGCTGAAAACCATATTGGTTCACTAAATGGGGTTCTATTTGTGAAATACACATTTGTGTTTAACCTTTATCTTTCAAAATTGTAGCGTACTAAATTTCGAGAAAGAGGCGTACGTTTTTATATGTGTCTGTGGGGGGCGCTAGAAATTCACTAGGGAGCCAAAGGGGGCGCCAGCCTGAAAAAGTTTGGGAACCATTGTACTAGACCATATGAAAACATCAAGTATGCGGCTATACACTCCTAATTTCACCGCCATCTAATCAAACTAAGCAATAATAACATAACAAGAGAACAAGTTGTATCGACACATGAATCCTACAAGTTGGCACATAGAGTCACCAGCAAGAGGAGAGCGCAGAGGCAGGAGAGGGTAGCGTCTGTTGGTGCTGGAGGTGGCTGCGCCGAGCTCGTCGGGGGAAGCCCCGGCCAATTGATTCAGTAAGGCTTGGTCGTGCAGAGCCACTCGAACGTCTGGCAACATGTTAAATTCTCTGATAATGTTAGGAGATATAAGACTTATTTGTAACATTCAACTATGCGAGGTCAATTGTATTACAACAGCATTCAAGTAACTGATAACAGGTCTAAAAGAACTACTTGAATTAAATCCAACCAAATAGCACCTGTTTCGAATGGATAACCAATAGATGAATTCAACACTATCAGAAGGAATAAATACAAAAGGAAATTACACTAAAAGAGTTATACTTCATTATTGACTTATCAACGGTAGAATAGTATTTGAATATATTTTTCAAATGAGTTTGAACGCTAGGTAACAACACCCAAATCAGAAGTGTTGAAGTTCTTAGTGTAGCCAGAGTGCGGTGCGATGGTCTCTCTTGGCCGCGTGGCAGCAAGCCAGCGGTTCCTCTCACAGCCACACACCACAACCGAGGCAGGACACTGCGTCAGGTGACGGGACATGGCATGGCGCGGCAGCGTGTGAGGGCAGCCGTAGACTTTATTCAGGCACTCAACACGCACGTGTGAGCACAGTAAGTCATGCTCATCTAGCTTGCATGCATGGAACCTGAAAAGAAAACTATTTTATCTAACTTGAACATGTTGCAATATAATTTATGAAAGAGTTTAAGGATAAATTTTCCATCTTGATACCGTATTGCTGGAATAACTACCAAGAAGTGTACTTTTCACTGCAACTACACTAGAAACTAGGAATATAAACATCAAAAAGTTATTAGGCAGCGATTTTGAAATCAAATTTCTCAAAGAAAGTACCAAGTAAACATATTGAAAAAAGAGGTTACTTATTCAATTAGATACCCACTCAAACATTATATACTCATTAGAAAATAAGCCTCACCTCATACCACAGTAATGGGGACAGGAGATGATTTCACAGCTGAAGCCAGCTTTGGGATAAACTTTACATTTGCTGAGCTTGAAGCAATGCTCACAATGGAAGTGTATGTTGATGTCAACCTCATCATACTGCACTCATGGATCCATGCAAAAGAAGATTCTTCATGAGTGCTAAAATAACAAACAGAATGAAACATTTTCATAGGATTGTTTCATGACATGTTATCTTCAAATATAGATTTAATGAAACACAGATTACACAATGATGTGAACAGTAGGTAGGTAAGTATGATGAAGGTGAATATTGGATATATTTTTAAAAAATAATAAATATTGATTGATCTTTCAACCAATTCTTACTCTACCAGGAACAATTCTAGAATAAAAAGATGCATTCAAGATATGTATTGAAGTATGATGCACACAATGCCATTTGCTTAGATAACTGGAAAAAACAACATGAGGATGAGAAAAGTGATATGGGTCAATAAATATTTGAAAGAATACAAATGCACAAGTAGATGAACAGATAAAGTTTTGAAGTCATAACAGGGTGTACAGGATGGGTGCAGAGAGTTTGTCCATGTATTTTGTGTTAACCCGTTCAGAAATTTCATATACAGGGTGCGCCACAGAAACTTACTTATTTTAAAGGTCAATAAAAACAAAAGTACTTCAGTTATTGTTTTAATTCTTGTTTATTCGAGAAAACAGTATCCCAAATTTTTTTTTCATACAGTTTTGAAAATTAAATCTCATAAATGACGGCCTCCATTGCGCATAAACTAATGAAGTCGCTTTTTCATAATGGTTTCCACTCTATGCAGCATATCAATCGGTATTTTGGCAATGACGTCGCTACGCAGCCGGAAATGTGGAAGTGAGCCTCGCCACTGAAAAAAACGACCGCGTCTTCAGGCAGGTTGTCAACCAGCATTTTACATGCATTTTGAGGGGCAACAAAATCGCGTTCAGTTAATTTTTGCACTACAGCAAATTTATTTGAGAAACTTTGAGAAACAAACTTGAGAACTTTCCCCTTTAGATGCACCCCCTCTCGCCCCTCTACCCGGTCAACTAACCGCACAGGAATTTTTTCAAATAAGTAAGTTTCTGTGGCGCACCCTGTACATGTAAGCGAGTATCTTTGAAGAGTTATGGACAGTCAAGAACATTTTCTGATCTGATGGAAAGCAAGATTCCAATAATGATTGAACAAAATTAACAAAGGAAAATTACAAGTTTGTAGATTTTTCTATTACTTTCTTCCTTATCACCTTGAATTCCTTCCTGGTAACAAATTTACAAAAAACAAAGAAGGATTTTAAAACATACACAACAATTTTGAAGGTATGGTTTCATTTGAATGAATCCTACAGCAGTTACTTAGGTTAACTTCTCTGTTATGGAAATTTGCACGAGTTTATAGTAAAATTTGCATTGATATTGGTACTTTAATTCATAAACCCACCTGTACTTCTTCTTGAATAATAGCAGCCAATTCTTCATCATCTTCTTCTCCCGCACTGCTCACAGGACTAATATGGCCCTCCATTTTTCTGAAACAGTAAAAAAATTTTACTGAACTGCATGGCAGAAATCCATGCAGCAGAAACCCAGTACCACAGAAACACAAGACCCCAAACACTTTAAATTGCTGATCTTATGTAAAAATGGTGTCATCAAAGATTAGAAACTTTACTTTTTACAAAAACAGCATGACTCTAATGAAACCTATAATTATAAATGTTGCAAATTTTCTGTAAAAACTGAAAAAGATGTGTTAAGATGTGTAAAAGATAAATTACCATGAGCTAAACTGCCCTAATAGTGAAGAAAAATGCTTTATATACTTCTTATTTTCCAGGTAGAATTGTAGATTTGACATGAAATCAACTTTAGTTTAAATACTGCCTGACACATCTGAAAATGGATTCAAGGATCAAAAACAGAAACTTTAAACTTGGAATTTCATTTCACTGAGCTCTGCAAAATCAATCAATTCACAGCATTATTCATTCTTCTTTTGAAGACAATATATAGAAACTACTAACATATTAATTGAAGGAAAAAAGGAACTATTGTACATTAAAAAAGTCAAAGAATAAACATATGGGAACCAAATTACCTAAATAATAAACTCCTATCTGCCAAGACACTGTCAAACAGAGTAATAAATAAGGGACGGGCAGGGTAAATCAGGACAGTCGTCCCACATTTTGTAGAAATGTTGTAGCAGTTAAACTAATTTTACTTACATAAAAGTTGCACACAGGTGTTGGGTTAAAAACGTGATAGATGGAATTTGCGCATCTCATTAAAAAAAATGGTGGTCATTTCCACAAGATGGGGTAATAAGGGACACACCTCCAGGGTAATAAGAGACACCTCTAAAAATGCATTTACAGTAGAACCTCTATTAGCAAAGGCCCCATTAACAAAAAATCAATTAACAACAAAAAATTTCATTTAAATCTACCTTGCTCAGCAAAAAAATTCACTTAACAAAAAATTAATGCATCATCAGTTATCACAAAATTGTGCACAGAATGTCATAGATAGAACTGTGCACCAGTCAACATAGAATGAAAGGTAATTAACCTAAACTACCGTATTACTTATTTCTCCAAAAAATATGATGGTTGTCACTAAAATATTCCATTCTGTTTCAGGTATGTTTTTCATGATCTTTTTCATTACAGTGAATTCACTTGACCTAATTAAAATGGTGCAAAATTACATGTTGTCCTGTAAGCTTACAGATACAGAAGAAAAGCTACTGTATATGGCTGCTGATATGAAGCTTGCAGACTGCAGTGGACAAGGTCATAGTCAATGATCAATGGCATGTCCATGGATGTGGTCAGGATTAGAATTTTCCTACTTGTTTATGAAATCTCGCAGCTCCGATGTGACGAATTTTTAATACATTTGGAAATTTGTGACCCAATCATGCACTTATGTTAACAATTAGATAGGAGGTGATTCATCTGGCAGAAATCTCCCGGTTCCAGAAATGGCGGCAATCTCCCGGTTCCAGGAATGGTGGGAAAGCTCTAGTTGCAGCAATAAAGGGAGATGTATTCCATGCTTGGATATGGTAATATCACATCAATAATATGGTAATTTTTTATATGGTAATATCAATAAAGGAAAAACAAGTAAAAAGCACAGCAGAAGATGTCATTTATTCTGCATCTACATTTTCTACGAAGGAAAAGGAAGACTTCAGAGTTCAGAGCAGGGTTGGCGATTTTTTTGATTTTTTTAAAAAAATAAAAAAAATCAAAAATCAATGATTTTTTTTATTTTTTCATGATTTTTTTGATTCATTTGATTTTTTCAGCTTTTTTGTCTTTTTTGAGGTGTTATTTTTTATGTTGCAATTAGCCTACTAACAATAACAGTATATGGATCATAATGGATAGCTAAAAAGGGCACTTATTGCCTCCAATAATGGCCAACAGGCCAAGGTGGTGTTTACCACTTAGGGATTTTCGGGTAAACAAATATTGATAAGTCTATTCATTAGCTTTGTAAAGTTTGTATGGAGCAAGGTAAGAAGCTAAATATTGACCATTTAACTGGCTTCAATATACAAAAACACTTCAGGAATGCAGATCTCCTAAACATTGAAGAGTCACATAACAGATAGGTAGCTGATTGCACAGTGCACAGCACTATCAATAGATCTACTAGTTTTATGTCTATAAATCTACCAGACTCTACCTTCTATACACACCGACTAGTAGTGACTGAGTGACTGACTGCGCTGTTCCCATTTAATTCAGACCAATAAACCAATACTAAACATAAACTGAACGATAACCAAACAAACCTCATACGACTTGAAATGAGACTTAAGTTATGAGAAAAGCTAACACTGTTTGAAATAAACATGTGCACAATTCAAATATTTTATATCCATTCACTGCATTTAATTATTTTATATATAGTCTTATAATTGTAATTGTTTTGCTTCTAGTTTTAAATTCACATATTTAAAGATTGAAATTAAATATTTCAATTAGAATACTCGTATTAGGGTGGAAAATCTTTCTAATTGCCTAAGAGTTCAATACAATCTAAACCTCTCAATATACAGGGTGGAGCAGAATTGAGCAGTTTTGAGGTAAAATAAAAGAGTAATGGAGGTGCATAAAGAAGAAATTTTATTTTCCTAGAGGTTGAGGATTGGGCAGTTTTGAGGTAAAATAAAAGAGTAATGGAGGTACATAAAGAAGAAAGTTTATTTTCCTAGAGGTTAGCATAACATACCATTTAGAATACTTATGTTTTGAAAACAATATCTGGAAGATGGGGGCTGTTAGCTGCAACACACTGTTGGAGTCGTTCTCAGAGGAGGGAGTAACCATGACTGTGAATTCCGATTGCTATGCTGCAATGTTGCAAAATTTCTTGCAGCCCATGATGGAAAACATTGTTGAAAATGAAGCATTGAGAGACGTGGTTCCAGCAGGATGGGGCTACAGCTCACACAGCTCGAATGTCACTCAATGTTTTGAAACGCATGTTTCCCATAGGTCTGGTGTCTCTGAGGGGTGATTTACAGTGGCCTGTGAGGTCACCTGATTTGAGCATTTGCGATTTCTTTCTTTGGGGACATCTAAAAGAAAGGGGTTCAGAAGTCGCCCTCACACCCTACCACAGCTAAGGAAACGGATTATTGCAGCAGAGGTTATGGCCATACCTCGCCATATGTGTGAACGTGCTTCAGGAAACTTCCGAGAACAACTCCAACAGTGTGATGCAGCTAACAAACCCCATCTTCCTGATATTGTTTTCAAAACATAAGTATTTTAAATGGTAGTTATGCTAATCATGAGGAAAATAAACTTTCTTCTTAATGTACCTCCATTACTCTTTTATTTTGCCTCAAAACTGTTCAATCAGTTCTGCCCCACCCTGTATAAGCTAGCTAACACATTTAAATTGTATATTGTAATCAATATAAAAGACTACTTATAGCCTTATAAGAATTAGCTAAGCTACTAGCTACGTAAAATGTATTGCACTCTTGATGCCTCTGTACCAAAAACATTCCATTTATTGGAACCTAATACACACTAAAGGCAACAAGTTTAAATACCAATTTGTCATTCATATTACATTTATACTAAACCATGAATAACAATACCTCAATTCAAATTAAAGACTGCCACTCAATATTTTTAAATATATGAAAAAATCAAAAAATCGAAAAAATAAAAAAAATCATGATTTTTTATAAAAAAATCAAGTGATTTAATCACATGATTTAATCATTTTGATTTAATCATTGCCAACCCTGGTTCAGAGTACTGTTAGTAATGGACTAATGGATGAGTGCACTAACTGCACTTTGCATGCTTCAAACGTTTTGAAATCAAGTTTTATTTCAAGTATCCTAGATTAACCCGTTAACAGGGGTAATTTGGGATGCTTTTATTTTGCATCAGGCACCTTACAAATAGCATATGGAATTTTTTCAGAGATGCCATATGATAGCACTTGCAAATAACTTTAAAATGATCCCAAATTTTTTTATGAAATATTACATGGTAAGAAGTTATCAACAAAAATGCTTAAAATTGTCTCTTTTATCCCGTTTGATGGTATGATATATGGTAGACTGGATCTAGAAGATCAGACAAAAATTTCTAAAAATTAGAAGAACAGAATGACATAAGTTTCTAAAAATCAGAATATCAAACAGAAATTTTAAATATTATGGGTAAAAGCAATTGTTTCACAAGTGATTTTAGAGAGTTATAGGTAAACGCAAAAATGAGCCTTTTTCAATTTTCAGAAGAAATGAGGTATGGGATATCAGAATAGCTAAAATTGTCCAGGTGCATGAGCATTTTTGTTGCATTCACAGATGAATTCTGCCCATTTCTTCAGTTAGAAACTAGAGTGAGATAGCTTGGCCTTTTAAAAATAAGTGCAATTTAATTCAAAGTGTCAATTGCCTTGATTAATTGATATTCAAAATTAAATCGAACAGCAATAAGCAATTTTCATATAGAATGAGTTTCGAGGAAAACAAATTCACTGGCATGAAATTTATCCATCTTTGATCTTTGAAGGCACAAATTATGACAAATAAAGCTTTACCTTTATTTTTGGAATACTAAGATTTTTTTCAAAAGATGAATTATTTTATATCTAATTGTTTAAAAAGTATATAATTGTGGCATAACATTCAAAATTATTAATATGTATTACTGGAGAGTTGAGAGCTCAGGAGCTGCAAGATTTCAGTGAATGTAGGAATTTTTCAATCTAGCCAATTCAAGCACTGAAGCACAGAAGCACTGTCAAAGCAAAATGTGCAAAATTGTGTAAAGCCAAATGGTGGCAAATGCCATCGGCAAATAAGACAAAAACTCAATGCTCACAGACTCAAACAAAGGCCCCCATAGAACTGGGTAAAATTGACTGTGTCTGTGACCCACTATGCAGAGGGTGGATGCAGCGTTGGCAATATATGGATTTTTAAGCCCAAAGCGTCGCCGGCCATTTTAAAGATGCGTCGCCGGGTAATTTTTAATGAAAAGCCATTTACGCTGAGTAATGATGTCGGAAACCTTACTTTTTTTTCTAAATAGTTGGCTGAAGACTGAGAAATATATTAAATGCAAGAATTTTAATCTAAATGTGTCGGCAAGATCTTGTGAAGGCGAAAATTTTGCCGATAATGCGTCGCCGTAGGTCTTTAAATCTTCGTTCACTCTCTGCACAGTGGTCTGTGACTGTGACTCACAGTCACAGACTCACAGTCTTACTCACAGACACAGTCAATTTTACCCAGTTCTATGGGGGCATTTGTTTGATTATTTTAACATAAATAATGTACAATGTTTGCAATTTTTTCTATTCAACATCCTAACCTATTTAGTATTGTACTTTGAACTTAGTTCAAACTACAAGGGGCAGGGGGCAGCGGCCAGTGTGCAGGTCGGTATAACTCATATAAGTACCGTAGAGGCTAGAGCCTAGACTAGGACTAGAGGCAAGAGGCATAGACCAAAGTGCTGTGGCAAATTATTGGCAGTCAATTCATACTTTTCATAGCGTGTTTTTAATGACAAGCATTGAGCACCAAGCGGTCGAGCGGCAACTTAATAAAAGCCAAAAGGTAAACCAAAAATGCAGCCTGCAGAAACTGCTGGCGCTGGGTGGTCAGTGGTGGTGGTGCCAGACTGCCAGGTACGCACCACTCGGCTGTCGGCACTCGATGAATAACGACCTATATCGTATGGACTATGGAGTGATCAGTGATGGTCCTGATGGAGCTGTCAGCTGTGTCAGCCTGTGTGCCAATTGTCACCGAACGATCGAGGCAATCCGACGGTGCTTCGGTATCCTGCTCCTTCTATATTTGCAGGATTGCAGCGTAGCAAAGTGTAAACAGTAGCTTAGCTTCACGCCTTCAACTACTGAAGGCCTGAGAAACTTTTAGTCTAATACTCTTACAAGTTACAAGTCTGGTGTCGGAACAAGTGAACGACCGTCGGGCGTCTGAGCTGTAAGCGTAGCGTAGGCGAAGTCTCTTCTTCTTCTTCTTCTTGTTACTTCTTATAGGAGCACTGGAAACTGGTCCATTTAGCCCCTTGCCTAAACAGTTTTTGGTTTACGCCTAACTATCATTTAGTAACAATCTAAGTATCTAATAATCTGAAAGAATCTGCAAGAAAAAAAAACACACACACACACAACAAGAAAAAAAAGAGAAAAAAATACAAATAAAAAATAAAAATAATAAT